CGCGCCCTCTGTCTCTCGGCAAAGGTCTCCGGGCACAGCCGAGCCGGGATATCCGCTCTCTTTGCAAAGCTGGCTGTTTAAGCAAGGGCAGAAAGCAACTGGTGTCTCTCCTCCTCCTCCTGCGCGCAGATCACGTTTATCCGCCCTCCCCGAAATCCTGTGCATCACCGCCAAGATGACTCTCGCTCTCCTCCCTTCCACCGACCCAGTTTATGCACCGAGATCTGCAGTCACCCCCAGTCTCCATAAGCTCCTTTATCACGGACGAGAAGCGGGACCTGCATGCCGTTGTCCCCACCGCGGACAAAACCCCTATTCCAGTTTACGCGCTCCAGTTTGATCTCACTCCAAATATTAACGCCGCGCACTCCCGATCGTGTTTACACACCGCGATCGGCGCCCATAAGAAGCCGTGCAACCAGCCGACACCCCCCACCTCCTTGTCTCTCAACGTGCGCCTTCCTCGGATCAGGTCGATACGCCCCCCGATGCGTTCCCTGCGCTCCAGCAGCGCCCTCTCCTCCTCCTCCTCCTCCACGCGCCTCCAACCGGGTCCTGAGCCGAAACCCAAGGTCCCACCCCGCCGCCGCCACTACGGTGCGCCCTGCTGGGGGTCATCTTGTCATTCCCGGAGGAGGAGGCGCCGCCTGGAGGGTCGGGCGTCCTCCTGACCTCCTTCCGCAGATTCTCGTCTGCGGGACCCTCAACGAGCCAACCCCAGCCCCTACCCCGCGCGCCCCGCCGGAGATCCCATCCCGGGGCGCCCGGGCCAGCGGCTCCACGTCTCCAAGGACCGCCCGCGCGCGCGCCAAGGGGGACCCACCCAGCTGCCCCCTCCCTCCACACACACATGCCCGGCTCTCCTCCCCCTCGATCGCCTGGTTACCGTCAGTGAGAGGCAGCTCCACCATCTCCTCCTCGGCTCCGCCGTCCCCCATGGCCAGGCCGGCTTCTCCTTGCTCCCTTCCTTGCCCTCCTCTCGCGCTCTTCTCCTCCTCCTTCCTCCGCTTTGGTTACATGGTGCGGGCCCTGCGCTTCCTGGTGCAGCAAGCAGCCCGCCGCCGCCGCCGCCGCTGCCTCCGCCGCCTCCAGGCCTGACTCAAGCGGCAGGAATGTGACAGCAAGCAAGAGGAGGAGGAAAAAGCCCAGGGAAATCAGGGGACCCGCCCCAGGGAGGGACAGGGGACCCCCTTCCTGCTTAACGCGCCCCCTGCCCGAAGTTCCGTGTCACCCCCGTGCCTGGATTCCCACCACGCACGCACACACGCTCGGACTTCCTGCGGGGCCCGTCTCGGCCAATCCCAGCGACACGCTGCTTCTTGGGGAGGCGCGCGGCGTTTTTTCTCGCTGTCCAGCGCCTTGCACCCCTGCAGGAGCGCGATTGTTCCCGGGGATCTTCGCCACCTAAGTTTTACTCTGAGTAGACCCATTGGAATGAATGGATCCAAATTAGGGGCTGTACCTGCAGCCAATGCTCGTCCTACAGACCCATTAGAATGATTGTACAGGACTGACTTAGGACCCTTCATTTCAGTGGGTCTACTCGGAGAAAAACTTAGATGTAATATTTAGGCATGTCCATTTGTTTCAATGGGTCACAGGACTCCTCCAGATATAGATAGATAGATAGATAGATAGATAGATAGATAGATAGATAGATAGATAGAACATTGTGCAAGTGAATTGTTGATGTGGTGTAGAGGTTAGAGTGGAGGACTAGGACCTGGGAGACCAGGGTTTAAATCCCTGCTCAGCCATGAAGCTCGCTGGATAATCCTGGTGGCCAGTCACTGCCTCTCAGCCTAACCTACCTCTCACAGGGTTGCTGTGAGGATGAAATGGGGAGGGAAAGAACCATGTTGGAGGAACGGTAGAATCAAAATGTGATAGTTAACTAAATAAATGGGGAGGTTATACATGGCACATGGAAATGATGGTATGGTGTCTCTGCGCAGGACCCAGAATATGGGAAGCACAATAATAAGCCATCCTGCTACATGGAGACTGGCATAACTCTATTTATATATTATTTTGGAATTTATATAATTCTTTATTTATTAAACGTGCATACCGTCCTTCATCCGAAGATCACAGGGAGGTTCACAGCATAAAAGTGGAAACACAAAATACATAATAAAACAAACAAATCAATAAATCCCTCCCAGATTCTGCTAAGTGGACTCTGCCAGTTTCCTAAGGTCTCCCATGTAGATTGTTGGGATGGGAGATGGGGATCAGCCTGGGCAGGTCAGCTTACTCACAAAAACTTTTTTTTTGGTCACAATTGAGTAGAATGTTTTTGCTCCATCTTTGATTTTTTTGTTTGTTTATTGCACTTATATTCCATCTCTTACTCCAAGAAGCTTAATGTGACACACACGGTTCTCTCCCCCCCCCCCATGTAAGTAAAACCTCTAAGTGGCTTACAAAAAACAATAAAATATACAATAAAATTTACAAACAAAACATTAAAAAAAAATCAAAATGCAATTAAAGCCAGCAGTTAAGCTAAAATGACAGGTTAAAACCCATGCCAGTTTTTGTCTGAGTGCAGGCTTGTCTAGACAAAAAAGATTTTAGCAGGCTCGGAAAACATTTTGTACAGTGAAAGCCAAGATGATCTATATAGCCCAAATGTCAAGTGGCGGAGAGGGTAAGTGTCACCGCGCTAAAATATTTCTTCCTTACAAGTGTAAAACAAATACTATGTGGCCCTTTTAATAGTGCCAGTTCTGCAAAATCAAAGTGGTCAATGAGGCATATCTGGGGCAAGGTGTTGCCTGGTGCAAGATGCACAGAGCATTGGCTGGAATGGACAGAGAGGGATGGTGGAACAATAGTTAGGCTAGCTTGATTGTGTCAGCCGTAGCATTTTGAAACAGGAAGGAAGGGATTGTGCAAGGGAAGAGAAAAATCGGCAACTAGGCCATGAAATAGCCTGTCTTTGGCCTCTGCTGGTAGGAAATCAAAATTATGCTAAGGGGGGGGGAGAGAGAGAGCTAGTGGAGTGTAGGAACTTAAAGCAGACGTTGCAGAAGTGGCTAGTGTACAGTACGTGTGCTTTGGAAGGGCTGCACACTCAGTTTGCATCCTCATGGGGAACCAGATTTATTTGAAGCTCGCACCTCTCCCAGTTATGCTGTATTGTTTTTAACACTCAATTGGGAACTGCCTAGAGTGGCCTGGAAAACTCAGCCAGATGGGTGAGGTATGTATGTATGTATAAATAAATAAATAATAATATTTTGCCTGTGATAGCGGTGGCTGCAGCTTCTTGGGTCTGGTGGGGCCAAAGGCAGGGGAGCCCAACAGTAGGTGGCGCCAGAGCCAGTTACAGGCAGAGACAGAACCATGGGATTTGTAGAATTGGAAGGGACCACAAAGGTCAATGTGAGGCTCAAAGCTGTGACCCTGAAATTAAGAGTCTCCTCATGCTCTACCAACTGAGCTATAGATGGCTCAGTGTCTAGTTTTGCCGCCATGCTCCCCACTCCCTGCTCAGTTTTACAAGGGACAACACGGAGGTCTAGGGAGAGAAGACAAGAGCCTGTGCCACCCCACCCCACCCACCCACCTCGGACTAGATGTAAGAAGAAAGGGAAGGTGGGGGCTAAGTAAGGGCAGCTCAGGTTGGCGGGGTGCAAGCTTAAAACTGTGTACCTAGGTAGATAGATCAGGATATACTGCAGTGGAGATGAGGGCATATGGGGCACTGCCCCACCAACATCGTCTGCCCTTAGCTAGCCCCTGCCGCCTGCCTTCTTTCTTGCAGTCAATCCAGCAGGTGGTCCTGCCTGGCAGCTTCCTCCTCTGTAGTCTCAGTATTGCCCCATGTAGAACTCACCGGAGAGGGGGAGGAGGATGGGGGCAAAACTAGGATTATTTGGCTCTGCCTATCATTGGCTTTAGGGGACGCGGGTGGCGCTGTGGGTTAAACCACAGAGCCTAGGACTTGCTGATCAGAAGGTCGGCGGTTTGAATCCCCACGACGGGGTGAGCTCCCGTTGCTCAGTCCCTGTTCCTGCCAACCTAGCAGGTCGAAAGCACGTCAAAGTGCAAGTAGATAAATAGGTACCGCTCCGGCGGGAAGGTAAACGGCGTTTCCGTGCGCTGCTTTGGTTTGCCAGAAGCGGCTTAGTCATGCTGGCCACATGACCCGGAAGCTGTACGCCGGCTCCCTCGGCCAATAAAGCGAGATGAGCACCAGAGTCAGCCACGACTGGACCTAATGGTCAGGGGTCCCTTTACCTTTTTATCATTGGCTCTGGTGCCCCCTGCTGTTGGCGTTGCCTTCCACACCACCAGATTCGATGAGCACCAGCCCAGACTGATCTCTGGGTTATGTGCCACAGGTCAGGCAGGGTTTCCAACTCTCAGTTGTTTTAAAAGCACATTTTACCTTGATACAGTAGGCTAGTTTCTATACATACTCTCTCTCACACACCATTTCTATCCTCTCCATGCAAGAAAGCAAGAAGCATTAGCAGAGTTCAAGGACACATTCCTGCCAAGCTGATTTGCAGCAGCCATCCAGGATTTTCAACTGGATTCCCCCCCCCCGACTGACCTGAAGATGCCAAGGACTGAGACTGGGACCTTCTGCATGCAAAACAGATGCTCTGCCACTGAGCTACAGGCATTCCCTGAAGACATGGGAACATAGGAACAGTTCTTCCCTGTCGAAGTGATATAATGCTACTTTAAATGTGAAGCGTAGAAGGGACATCAGCCAAGGTGTTATGTTACCAAAGGCAAAATAAGTTGGCACCTTTGTGAGCTCCTCTCCCATTCCCTGGCAGTAAAAATGCACTACTCATAATAAATAACAGTTTGCTGCTCTTTTGTGGCACACGCTAAACCAGCCTCCTCACTCTCCCAAATGCTTGGGCCGGCCCTGCTTCTTTTGTGGGAAAATGATCTCACGCACCTCCTGCAACATCATGGTGCTAAACCAATGCGGCGTTTTGTGCTGTTCACATTCCGCTCCCAGAAAGACTGGATTGATAAATAACCATAAACTTTATTTTTAAATACATTACTTAACTGCAACAATTCGGGCCCATCACCCTTCATACATATTACATACATCTATGGTTGCAGATGCTCAGACTCAGCCCCTCCCCACACCTGCTGTTCAAACTGGGTCACCTTCTTTAGAGGGTATTACATCACATGCTTCAAAATGCAGCGATCCAGTAGCCCTGCTGCAGTTGAGGGGAGGGAGAGCGCTCCTGATCATCTGGCTGAGTGGGGACCTGGATGTCTGCCCCAAATTCCTGTCCTGACAGCCCCACTGCCCATAGGAATCTGTGAACCCACCCAAATGACACCCTGTGCTTTGCATTCATTTAATGCCTCCCCATCGTTCCAATAGGATGTTCACATCAGTTCAGGTTTGGAGAATCTGAGAGGGTGAGCCCTCTTCGTCCACAACATCACGATGGACGCTCAGGGGTTTGTTCCTCCTCACCCAGTGGCGGTCCTGAGAAAACCAAAACAAAAAACACACAATGAATTGCAGAAGCTTTGTGGGGCAATGGGTGAGTCCATCTGGCTGTTAACCAGAAGGTTGAGCCCACACAGGGATGGCTGTGAGCAAGATTCCCTTCCAACTCCACAGTTCTAGGATTCCGTGAAAATATTTATTACAGCCTCGTATCCTTTTTCATTTTCTTGCTTTGATCTCTTCTTTTTCTCCTTTATTGTTGTTATTATTATTGTTTTTTGTGTATTAGAAAATCTATCTATCTTCTTATCATTTTGATCCCCACTCCCTGCTCTAGGGTGCAGGGGCCTAAATTTGGTAAAGAATATGGATTTATTTGTTATGAGCGTCTCCTAACACATTCAGAAAACAGCAGTTGCAAAGGAACCACAAATTTCTTGCCAGAGGACCTGCTTTTCATGCTGGAGGTCCTAGGTTCCACCACCAGCACCTCCACTTAAAAGGATCCGGGCATTTCCAGACTGTCACTATTCCCAAGTGAGAGATTCCACCACCTAACAGCGAATTCAGGTTACGCAACCAAAGCTGATTTGGAGGTCCTGAGCAAAAATAAGGCCCACTTTCCCAAAATGCAGACCTACTCATCCCTTTGCATAGGCTCTCCCATGGGCATAGCCAAGATTTTTTTGGGGGGGGCAAGGTTTTGATTGATTTAGGGGGCAGGTGCCCCCTGCCCCCCCGGCTATGCCCATGGTCTCTCCCCACCCCATCTCTCTCATCTCACCTCTCTCCTTGTCGCTCTTGGAAGTCTGGCTCGGAACTTCCCACTCTGCCGCAGCTTCTTCGACGGAACCCCCCAGCATTCCAAGACGGCGCTGGCGGAAGCGCTGGCGAGGGGTGTCCTGCTCTTCTCCTGGGCATTCCACTGCAGGCAGCCGTGAGCTCAGCCTATGGCGGCGGAAGGGCGTCTGTTGGCCATCCAAAACACTGAGGGTGCTGCTTGCTTTGCGGAGAGGGGCTGGTGAGCTGGGGGTGCTGGAAACTTTGAGGGCAACGGGGTTAAGAGGAGAAAAGAGGGAAGTCAGGAGACAGCAGAGCTGGGCAGGTTGTGCCCCAAGAGAGAGAAGCCCCAAACCTCTCTGCAAGGCTCCATAATTAATAACCATTTGATTACTCACCCACCCTTCACAAGAAATTGTAATACAACACTAAAAGGCTTTTTAAAAACAACATTAAACACTTTGCTCCACAAATAAATCCTGCATCAAGAAAATTCTGCAACCTTGTTTACATTATGCCAATCTGTATAATGTTTTGTTAATCTGCATCATTTATTCTGCATTTCATATAATTTATTTTAAATTTGATTTAAATATTCATAAACTGCACTCATATAAAATTTCACAAGGTGGCATACGGACTAAAAACATAGTATTACAATAAAAAAGGGTCATTAATTAATTAATTAATTAATTAATTGTCGTAAAGGAGGAGCACCGAAACTCTTAGCCTCCTGGGCTAGAAACTTGCACCGTCTATTTAAAACAACTGAAAGCTACAATTTTTGGGAGGGTGAATTCTGATCACAACATAAAATTCCATGCTTGTGCGGTTATGATCCTGGAATAAAAGCATCTCTGTCTGTGGTCCTAATTCTTTTCTTCCATTCATTTTTTGCCATTTGGTGTAAAAACATCGCCAGGAGAACTTACACAATTATAAAAAGGAAACAAAAATACCTTAAAACAGGCACAGGAAACCTGTGGGCCCTCCAGATGCTGTTGGACTCCAGCTCCCAGCAGTCCCAGCCAACATGGCAGATGTCAGGGATGCTGGGAGTTGTAGTCCACCACCATTCTAGAGCGGGAGAGGGGGATCTTTTTCAGCCTGAAGGCTGTATTCCCTTCCAGCAATCTGCTTTGAGCGGCGGGGGTCATGCCAGTGGTGTTTGGGGCCAAAAGCAAAAGTGGGGAGAGCAACAGATGTCAATCTTCCTTTAATACATTAGGCTGCTTTACACACACACACACACACACACAATCACACATCCTTCTCTGTCCTCCAGCCAGGCAAGCAATGAGCATTATCAGAGTTCAAGGATATATTCCAGCCAGGCAAAACCATTCAAGGAGTGTTGTGGCCTGGAGAGAGTTGTTGAGAGCCAGACAGAGAGGCCTGGAGGGCTGTGTTTGGCCCCTGGGACTGAGGTTCCCCATCCCTGGTTCCAGAAAGCCACCACTTCTTCAAATATACTAGTGAAAGCTGAGAGCGAAAACCTCTCCACTGCCCCTGCCACGCCTTTCTTTTCCCTTCCTTCACCTGTCCCATCAGCCCCACGTCCTTCCTGCCCTGTTAGGCTCTCGCTGCTCCCGGCCCCCTCAGCCATGGGGCGCAGCTGCTCATGGGGGGCTTCCCGGCGGTGTTTCACCAGCTTCCGTATTTTCTCAGCAATCCAGTTACTCTTCCTGTGAAGTAAAAAGTGGGTGAGATAAAAGAGTTGCGAGGAGGAAAGGAAAAGGGAAGCTAAAGGATGGGGTGTTCTGGACAGTTAACAGGAAGGACCTTCTACACTCAGTGCATCACTGGACTATGGAACTGGCTCTCTCAAGAAGTGACAGTCACTAGTTTGGACGACTTTAAAATACAGCTACATCTACTAGTCATGATAGCTATGTTATCTCTGGCATAATCAGAAGCTGTATCAGCTCCACAAGATTATCCTTGGAATAAGAGAGAATAAAGAATGGCCCTTTTTTAATCTGGTATGTGTTGGGAGGGTGAAGAATTAGCCAATTGGAGCATGCTTGTCACAAGCTCTGCTAGTGATATAAGAAAACATTGGGGTTAGCTTTTACAGTCAAACTCCCCATCAAGGGACCCAGTATCATTGTAGGTCAGAGAAGAAAGAGTAGAGGCAAGAAACAATTGAAAAATGCAAGGCTGATCTTTGTTTTGTGTTGAAATAGAGTCCCCCCACCACCCTGCCTTGCAAGGAGGCGAGAATCCAGAACAAAGGTATGTGGCAACTTTTAAAGACGTTAGAAATTACCCAACCCTCAGCCTAAAACCACTCAAAAGCATCATACGAGTGTCATAGAAAGAGGCGGGTCTACAACAGAAATTTGAGTGTGCCACTTGTCTCCTGTCTATCAAGACACCTGATAATGCTTGCTGATTGCCTTTTCCTAGCCAGTCTGGCCCATTCTTTTGAAATGGTAAATATCTCAGTTCTTGAATCCATTGCCACAGGCCTACCCATTCTGGTGATAAGTTTATCTATTTGAAGGATTTGTAGGATTTTGAAGCGAAAAGAACTATTGGGAAATGTTTTTCCAAGATACTTCCTTCTACTCCATAGAAAATATTTGGGTTCATTAAGAGAGTCAAGATGGCTTCAGGATTGCTCTATGAACTCAAATAAAGTATCTATTTCCCCCTGGTAATATTTCCTAATTTTTGAAGGTGAAGGATTCATTTTCTGTGCGGGGGGGGGGGGTGTCTGCTATGTGTGAACCTTAAAAAATTGTGTAACACTAGGATTTAGAACAGAAGGTTGGGGAACCTGTCAATCCCTCCAGATGCTGCTGGAACTGCCATCATGTCCAACCATTAGCTGTGCTGGAGGGGGCTGATGCATTAAGGGTTCTTATGAAGACCCCAGGGACTAAAAGTTGCCAAATTATTCTTGGACTTACTTGCCACGAGGAAGTGCTGGCTCCAGCACCCGGTACTGGTCCATGATCTTCTCCACCAGCTTCTGCTTCTCCCGACGCAGCTCGCCCAGTTTGTCTCTAAGGAGGAAACCGAGTGGGATTTAATGCCAAGGTCCTCCAGGCTGCAGGGGGTGCTGGAGGTGTTCAGGACAGCGCAGAAAACTTCAGAGGAGGCCCCTATGGAGTTCTTGTCTTGGATGTGCAGGCATCTCCTAGAGCCACACAGCTATCAGCTACCCGATGTCACACACTTGCATCTGGCACTCAATTTAATCAGCACTGAAGGCAACCCACACTTGCAAAGAAACAATCAGGAACGACTCTAAGGGCTGTTCTTTTGCAGCGACAGTTTTAAATGACAAACGTGGAGGGAAATGGTCTTGTGGGCTAAATCAGGACCCCTGGTGGGCCAAATCTGGCCATTGGCCTACTGGTTTCCCATGCCTGCTTGGCAAATTGAATTTATTCATCAACTGATCAGCTACTATTCCTTTAACCAATAACTACAGTAGCTTTAGGTCTATTTCCACTTGTTTTAGTGGCATGCATTAATTTGGCCTGTGGGCAAGAGGTTCCCCACAGATTTCATTCATACATCAATCAGCTACAATTTATTCATTCTACTTAGCATCTGTCCCTACTTGTTTCACAGGTGGGTTGTCTCCCACTCACAGGTACTGGCGCTGCTCCTCTTGGAAATGCTCCCGGCTCTCCATGCTGTGCTCCAGCAGGCGTCTGTTCTCCCTGCTTAGCACCTGAATCTCTTGAAGAAGGTGTCGGTTCTCCTCCTCCTGGTTCCCTTTCAGCTGGGCCAGCAGCTATGGGTTGAGGGAGGTGGGGAGATAGAGCATCCCGTTAACGGGTGGAATTAACACCCACCTGTTAACAAACACACAATGCATAACACCCCACATGCTACCAACTCCACAAGCTGACTCAACTTGCTACGCTGGCACAGGGATTCTGCTGAAAAGGGAACCGCTGCATTTAGGGCTCCCCGTCTCTCCTGTCATGTGTGAGGATGCTCACCTTTGTCGTGATGTCAGCACACCATTTCCTTGCGTCAGCTAGGAATGACATGATGCAGGAACGCACCATGTGATGACAATGTGGGGGGTTTCTACACTATTGAGGTGTGGACATGTCCTCTCCATCTCTCCATGTCTTTATTAAGGTAAAGGGACCCATGACCATTAGGTCCAGTTATGACCGACTCTGGGGTTGCGGAGCTCATCTCGCTTTATTGGCCGAGGGAGCCGATGTTTGTCCGCAGACAGCTTCTGGATCATGTGGCCAGCATGACTAAGCCGCTTCTGGCAAACCAGAGCAGCGCACGGAAACGGCGTTTACCTTCCCGCTGGAGCAGTACCTATTTATCTACTTGCACTTTGACACGCTTTCGAACTGCTAGGTTGGCAGGAGCTGGGACTGAGCAACGGGAACTCACCCCGTTGTGGGGATTCGAACCGCCAACCTTCTGATCGGCAAGTCCTAGGCTCTGTGGTTTAACCCACAGTGCCACCCACATCCCATGTCTTTATTAGCAGTATCCATATTGGATGTAAGCCCTCAAAAACCTAAATATTCAGACACATGCAATTTCATGTGGCCATCCAGACCCCTTTATATGGCCCTTGCAACTAGGCCCAGAGGCAAATTTAGGGCAGTGTGACCAGTTCCACTGCACTGGGCGCTGAACCCAGGGGGCGTTGCAACTATGACATAGTTAAATGGGCAGAATGGAAGGCAAGAGGCAATGGGGGTGCCGAATTTTGGCCTTGAATTTGAAAGACCAAAGCCTGCCCCTGCTAGTCCACTCCCCTTGCTGGTTCTGCTCTGCTCCTTCCTCAGTTTCATTTTTGTCTGCCTGGAATGTGCTCTTGCACTGTGACAATGCTTCTTGCTTGCCTGTCTGCACGGAGGCTGGAGAGATGGGTGGCTGTAGAAACCGCTGACTTCTGCATGGCTGGAATTGAGGCTACTGTACAAAGGGCAACAGCCCCGTCCATTATTCCACCCGCGTTTGCCGCAGCCCCACCCACGCTGGGAATTCTAAGAAACCCCTAAATCAGTGCAGTTTTGGAAGGTTCAGTCCTCCATCTTGATTCAAAATGGCACCCACCCAGCTGCATCCAAACACAGGAAAACCTGTTCCTTGATCTCAGGAACCATCATTTGAGATTTGGTTATGATCTAAGAGGTGTCCAAATGCAGAGAATGAACTACTTTTGAATAGAGGCATTCCCTCCTGTGGGTGAGACATTGGGGGATGCCTCTTTTTAAGAAGATGCTGGCTGTAACATATGCCTGCTTCACGTGAAAGTATTATATTATAACCAGCATTCTCAGTGGTTAGAGCCAAGGAACAGCTTTCCCACTGCAGACATGGACTAGGCCAGTATATCTGAAGGAGCGTCTCTACCCCCCATCATTCTACCCGGACACTGAGGTCCAGCACTAAGGGCCTTCTGGCAGTTCCCTCACTGTGAGAAGCCAAGTTACAGGAAACCAGGCAGAGAGCCTTCTTGGTAGTGGTGCCCTCCCTGTGGAACGCCCTCCCACCAGATGTCAAAGAGATAAACAACTACCAGACTTTTAGAAGACATCTGAAGGTGGCCCTGTTTAGGGAAGCTTTTAATGTTTGATGTATTATAGTATTTTAATATTTTTTGGAAGCCACCCAGAGTGGCTGGGGAAGCCCAGCCAGATGGGCGGGGTATAAATAATAAATTATTATTATTAAAGGTAAAGGTAAAGGTACCGCTGCCCGTACGGGCCAGTCTTGACAGACTCTAGGGTTGTGCGCCCATCTCACTCAAGAGGCCGGGGGCCAGCGCTGTCCGGAGACACTTCCGGGTCACGTGGCCAGCATGACATCGCTGCTCTGGCGAGCCAGAGCCGCACACGGAAACGCCGTTTACCTTCCCGCTAGTAAGCGGTCCCTATTTATCTACTTGCACCTGGGAGTGCTTTCGAACTGCTAGGTTGGCAGGCGCTGGGACCGAACAACGGGAGCGCACCCCGCTGCGGGGATTCGAACCGCCGACCTTTCGATCGGCAAGCCCTAGGCGCTGAGGCTTTTACCCACAGCGCCACCCGCGCTGTTTATTATTATTATTATATTATTATTATAGGCCAGAAGATGTGTGTTATGTATAAGTGGAGGGGATGGGGAGGGGATCCTTACTTCACACTGGGTGCTCAGGCGCCCTAGCGCCGTGTCCAGTTGCTGGTTCTGCTCCTTCAGGGCGTTGCTCTCAGCCTCCAGCCTTGCATGCTCCAGCTGTAGGCTGGTCAACCGGTTCTTCATTCCTTGAAGCTCTCCCTGGAGGTCGTCCCGTTCACGTTCTGTCTGGCCCAATGCCTGCTTCACCCTGGGGAATCATAGAATCATGCAATTGTAGAGTTAGAAGGGACCCCAAGGGTCATCTAGTCCAACCCCCTGCAATGCAGGACTTTTTTGCCCTACGTGGGGCTTGAACCCACCACCCTGAGATTGAGTCTTATTCTCTACCAACCAAGCTATCCCAGAGTAGATGGCTGAGAGCGCTTGCCGTTTACAAAGGAGGTCCTTGTCCCCTTGGCCTACCCAGTGGTGGGGAAACTCAGGTCTGGGGGCCAAATGTGGCGACCCAGGCCTCTCTATCTGGTCCTCGGGACTTTCCCCAGGCCACGGCCTGCCCTGGCCCTGCTTCCCACCTTCCGGGGATGGAATTTGTCCGGGGACGGATTTGTAAATCGGGGGACTGTCCCCAGTAAATGGGGACGTCTGGTAACCATACCCTAGTGCCAACCTCACCCCATTTCCTCAATACCTCACAGGTGTAAATAAAAGATGGTGGTCAAACAGGTCACCTGATGTCATTAGGAGATCCGGCAATTGACAGGTGGCGGCTACACCCACCTATCTAACTTGGCCAGTGAGGGTGCTAGCCAGATCCAGTTGTCCATAGCTACATAAACCCTCTCAATAAATAAGTATCAGCAGGTTTGGGATGTGCCCACAAGGGCTGGCTCCCACCTTCACCCCTGGCAGACACACCCTCCTTACCGCTCATGCTCCTCCTTGAGGTGGCCATGCAGTGCTGACAGCTCCCGGTGCTGTCGCTCAGCTTCCTCCAGCCGCTCCTTTTGCCCCCGAAGTGCTTCCTCCCGCTGCTCAAGGCCAGTTTTCTGCCCCAGCAGCTCGCTGTGCCTGTGGGAGGAGAAGGCTGGGTTTGACTTAGGCAGATGTGCCATTTAGGAAAAGGCCTTGTGCTCCCCGCAAAATGAAAAACACTGGGGGTTATGTTGCTTCTTGTTATTTCTGCTCAGCACTCTGGTTCCAAAGAAATCGTTCTCTCACGTTCTCCTAAGGCAGGGATCAGGGGAATCTGTGGCCCTCCAGATGCTGTTAGGACTACAACTCCCATCATCCCCTGCTGGCTGAAGGGGGCTGATGGGAGTTCAACAGGTTCTCCATCTCAGGGAATTAGACAAATTCATGGAGGATAAGGCTATCAGCGGCTACCTGTTATTCATAATGATAGGTTATAAATATAATGAACAGGTAGTGTTGCCTGTGGTTTAGAGCAAGGATGAGGAACTTCAGGACCAGGGGCCCCATGTGGCCCTCCAGACATCTGTATCTGGCCCTCAGGACTCTCCACACAAGCCACACCTCCTCTCCAGCATTGCTCCACCCCCTCCTCAAGGACATTTCTCCAGCTGGAACGTCTCCTCAAACTGTGATAAATTGGCACATCTAGAATATAGCTGACTGTATGGAGGTGAAAGTCACATAGTTCAACCCACTTTTGGCTATCACTGGCCCCAACCTGCCTCACAGGGCTGTGGTGAAGATAAAATGGGGAGAGGAAGAACCACATACATCACCTCAAATTCCTTGGACGAAAGGTGGGGTATAAATGTAATAGAGAAATAAATATAGACCCCCCCCCACACACCAACAACTTACAGATTCTCTGTCCCAGATTTACCTGCCCTGCAGGTCACGGTGTTCCTGCTCCAGGCTACGCAGCGCCCCCTTGAGGCTGGCATGTTTCCCCAGCAACCCCTCCAGGTCAGATCCCTGCCTCTCATGCAGAACCGTCAGGCGGTCGTGATCACGCAGGAGGGCATCGTAGCGCCCCCGCCACTCCTCCCTCTCCTGCTGGGCACCCCGGGCTTCTGCCTCCAGGACGGACAGCCTCTGCCGCAGCTCCAGGAGCTGGGATTCCAGTAGCGTCTTCTGGGAACGCAGAGATGCTGCCTCCACCTGCCAGGATTGCAACAGGGATATGAGAGCGAGAGAGACGGACACATTGTAAGCTCCTTGGGGCAGGGAGATTTAATCAATCCAATGACAATTGCTCATACAATCCTGAACAAGTAAATTCAGCTGATTCACTCTCTGTTAAGTATATATAGAATAGCAACCTTAGGCTACGTACACAGCATACATTTAAAGCACATTTCCCTCCCCAAAGAATCACAGGAACTACAGTTTGCCCCATCAGCTAGCAAAGGGAGGAAGAACAGGATGCCATTTGGGATTATCATGGAGACGCTTTCAAATGGATAGTTGGAAGTCACTTTTATTCATATTTCTTCTCTTTTGCTTTTTGCTTTTATTATACTCATTTCTTTGCTTTTACCCTCCCCCCCCCTTTTAGCCTGAGTGTGAAAGACATGCTGGATTTTCTGCTTGAATCGAAGGCTGTGGCTATGGGAGAAGCAAGACTTTCTGAGGTGTTAATGCTGTGAGCCCCTCCATCGTAGGCTCAGGCTGTATATATGTGTAAATAAACCATATATAATAAAGATATGTCTCCAATATACATAATTCCAAAGGAAATACGAAACCCTGGGTAAGCGCCTGGACCCCCTGGAATCTTGCACTGCTTGAAGACAGGGGTGGTGTGCGGCATTTTATTACCATTCATTTTTTAATCGTGTTCTAAACAACTGGCTCACGCCAATTTTCACATGAAGTAATTAAGAACAATTTAAAATGCAAAAAAGCGAATACATTCAGAACAAAACCCTGTCGAAGGAGACGCTTGTGGTGAAGACCCATTTATTCCTCTGGGAAAGCCTGTTGGAACCAAATTGTATTCAGTTACCTGCTTCCAGAAAGTGCAGGTAGTGGCTTACCTGTTTTATCACAACAGGGATGCTATTCCACAGAACCAAGGCAGCCACCCTAAAAGCCCCGCTCCAAGTTACTACAGAGGGAGCTTCTGAGATCATTGGAACTTGCAGCAGAAATTATCCCACAGACAGTAGCGTCTACTAGGTGTGTAATATATAAGACAAGGGTCTGAATCTGTGTAATAAGGCATCTTCCTATGCTCCATGGCCTTGAGAAGGTGGGAAGACCTGGATCCGTGTTCCCAGGAATCAGCTCCCATCCCAGCAGTAGAAGAGGCAGGGGTGCTTACCTGCAGTGCGCTGTTCTGAGCCTGCCACCTCCCGCTTTCCTCCTTCGCATCGGAGCTTTGGCCCCGCAGCCCCAGCAGCGCCACCTGCAGGCTGCTGACTTGCGAGTCCAGCTGGGCGAGACGCTCGGTTAGCGCCGATTTCTCGGCCTGCAGAACGGCGTTCTGTAAAGGCAGCACCCGGGTGAAATTGGTATGGGGTAGCAAAATTGGAAGGCCTTCCACAGCTGGCTGGGGAAGTGATCCTCCCAAAGACATATAGCACTGGACCAGGACTAGCCTCCACCGATCTGGGGCCCTCCAGAGGTTTTGTACCACAACTCCCGTCGTAGCCGTCTGCTCACCTTGCGTTCCACTTCAATGAGTCTCGCACTCAGGGCCTCATTTCTGGCATTAGCCTGGAGTGGCAACGGGTCTGGGTTATGTTCACTCTGTCCCTCCTGGGTCACAGACGGCTCCTCCAAAGGAACAATAAAGCCACTCTTTGCCTGGGGAGAGGAAACAAAAGTCTAGTTTTGGGGAACACCAACCTCTGTGCCCGAGGGGAATTGCAATGCAGTGGTTGAGGCCTGGGCTCAGGCTCAGCCGATACCCACACACAACATCCTCAGGAGCTGCCAGGGCTCCATAACTGGCCCATCGATTGGCCGCAGGTAGACTATCTGGACTTGGCAGCTGTGTAGCATTTCAATTTCCTACAATGATCCCGTGACAAGGACATTGTGGGATGTTGAAATGGTGGCTCCAAACCACCCAGCACACTAAAACCACAGAATGCCATCTCTCCTTAGGGCAAGGATGGGCAATTTTTTTCAGCCTGAGGGCCACATTCTCTTCTGGGCAACCTTCTAAAGGCCACACGCCTTTGGTGGGAGGGGCCAGGAGCAAAAGTGGGCAGAGCAATGAATGTAAATTTTCCCTTTGTACAGTAGGCTAGTTCCTACACACTCTCACACACACATCCAGGGAAGCTAAGAAGCATTATCAGAGTTCAAGGACACATTCCAGCCAGGCAAAAGCACTCAAGGAAGGCTTGAAACAAGGCCGGTGAGGGGTGTGGCCTGGGAGAATGGGTGTGGTCTGAGGAAAGCCCTGAGGGCTAAACAGAGGGGCCCAGAGGGCCACATTTGTCCCCTGGGACTGACTTTGCTCACCCCAGCTGTAGGGGCCCCCATAAACCTAGAATGAGCCTTGCCTGGGCTACACGAGACAAAACAAGGTGGTAACAAGAGGTAAAATAGACTGCACCACTTCAGACTGTAGGTGGCAGGCTCACATTTTTTAATGTTAACCTGCACTGGAGATGTATTCAAAAGTAGCTTTCCCCTCTTGCGGTGGTACAGTCTACGCTTCTAAACTCAGGACACTACCACCTCATTATGTTGCTCATGTAGTCCAGGTCTAAGGGCATGAGCCCAGAAGTGCCCTGATGAAAGGACACCTTTGCAAGTTCTCACCTGATGGTTGTTTGTGTGTTGCTGATTGAGGGCGCGCAGTTCCTCAAGCTGCCTCTTGAGTGTGCTGTTTTCCTCCTCCAGTTCCATCTTCTTCCCATTAGTAGGTTTCTTTTGGTTTTCCTCACTATAGGCATCATAATGCCAGGAAGACAGGAAACATACATTAATCCCAGGGCTTGCCAACATGGTACCCTCCAGACATGGGGCATACATTTCCCATTGTCCCCAGCCAGCATGGCCAATAGCCAGAGATGATGGAAATTGTAGTCCAAAATTCCATTCAGCCCAGTCAGGACAGCCAATAGCTAGGGATAATGGGAGTTGTAGTCCAAAACATCTGGAAGGCACCCTGCATCATCATCATTATCATCATCATCATCAGGGCTTTTTTTTCAACAAGCAGGGAACCACCGCAGAAAAAGCCCATTCTCATGTTGCCACACTCTTGTCCAGAGGGCCTCAGAGGATCATCACAGCGTCCAGGTCAGTTCATATGGAGGAGGCATATGAGGCATACTAGTTTCACTTATTTGGACAATGGATAATCCACAACTGTCCTCTTCAGGAACTGGTTGGGAGAAATCTGGCCCAGTATGTCAAGAATTCTGAACAGTTGAAAACCCTAGCTTGAATTGTGTCCTCACTCGGCAACCTACCTGTGGTGCTGCTGCCTGCTTTGCATCCCAGCCTGTGGGCTCTCTTCCTTCTTCAGCAGCTGCTCCTTCAGCTGAGCCAAGACGGCTTCCCTCTCCTTCCCCTTTGCCCTCTCCCTCTGGAGCTCCTGCAACAATTGGCATCATTGGAAGGGTGAGAAATCGAGGGGGTTTGGGGTCTTTGAAGCAGTTTCTTTGCACTGTTCACCGAACCCTTACAATGCATACCTGTCACCTTATGTCTACGGTTCAAATGTATTGTTATTTTAATATGTTGTAGTTTCTACATCAACATTACTGTTATTATTATTAAATGGGCTAGGGGTAAGTGAGGTTAGAACTGAGGCCTAAAAAACATTCTCACTTTGTCAATTAGGGTTGTTCAATCCGGCCCTGAACCCTGGATTAGCCGCAGAGAACAAGGGCGTGGAGTTCCACCCACCCAAATTGTTGTGAAGCTGGTTTGTGAAATAGGGCAGCTCATAGTTATACAGAACTCACTCCCACAGGAGACACTGATGGCCATTAATTTAGATGGCTTTGAAAGAGGATTAGACAAATTAGCAGAGAAGACAATTTATCGATGGTTACTAGCTATGATGTGTATGCTGTGCCTCTAAGGTCAGAAGCAGTGATGCTTCTCAATACCAGTGACTAGCAGAATACTCTTGTCCTTGGATCCCACTTGTGAGTTTCCCATAGGCGTCTGGTTGGCCACTGTGGGAACAGGATGCTGGACTAGATGGGCCATGGGCATGATCCAGCTGGCTCTTCTCACATATCTATGTTCTTAACAATGCGTCAAGCAGTGGTATTTCATAACAAAGTGCAGGATATACATATGCATTTTGGACAACAGTTGTGCGAACACAGGTTAAAAAGCCAGGACTGGAAGCAAAGCGAGCGCACGGTAAACACAGCCCTATTTGCCCACATTATTTTGCAAAAGGATCAGCAACAAGCAAAGGCTCAGTCTGTGGTCCACCAGAAAGTGGTACAATTAATCTACTTGGCTTTATTTTATAAAGCCTCTGTGGCTGTTCTTGTCCTGTAGTGCCCTCTAGCGGGCAAAGCCAAACGATAAAACATTGAACATAAGCAAACAAAGTATTTTAAATTTGCGGGAAACAATGCCAGGGAAATTTGGAGAAATGTTGTGTGTATGGCGTACACAGCAATAAGGCGGCTACTTACACATCGCCAGAGAAGAGGAGCACACAGATCTCCAGGCAGTTTGCATGTGCTAACTTGCATCTATCAATAGATGCATATTGAGAAATCATCTCACCGTAGCAGGGAACATGCCTGACCAGGGTTACACACCATCCATTTAAAGCACTGTTATGCCACTTTTAACACGCATGCCTTTGCCTTAAAGAATCCTGGGAGCTGTAGTTTGTTATGAGTCCTGGGAATTGTGGCTTTGTGAGGGTAAAACGCAGTTTCCAGGATCCTAGAGGAGAGTGGGGGGGGGCCATTTGTTGTGCGGATGTGACCATTGGGGGCAGAGGCAAGCACCAGAACGTTCTCAGTGGAAGTCTGGGAGCTGCCATTTTAATTTTCTCACAGGGCCTCAGACCAAGTGTTACTCCTGGATATTGTGGGGTACTTAAAAGGCAGCCTGGTGGGGCAGGGATTTGTTGTCTTTTACTTACTTACTTACTTACTTACTTACTTACTTACTTACTTAAAGCATTTACACCTGTCCCTTTAACTTTTCTTTAAGGAGCCTCAGGGACAGGCTTGATCCCAGCTCTTACGTTTATACTTGCTTGACCCACAAAACATATCCAGCTTCTCTTTTACCTCCTCCAGGAGGGCTGAAGCCTTTTGCTTGGCGTCCATTTCCTCCCTCAGGTTTGCTTCCTTCTGCTCCAGCTCCCCGAAACGCTGGGCGGCCTCCCTCAGGCTGCTGACCTCCGCCGCCTGCTGCCGGCTCTGGGCCTCGAGGTGGACGAGGCGCAGGCTCTGAGCCGCCAGGGCCTCCTCCTGGGCCTGGGCCTGGGCCTGGAGGCGCCGGCTGTCTTTCTCCAGCTGCCGCCGCAGGTTCTCGGCCTGGCTGAGCATCTCCTCCAGAGCCGCCTTCTCGGCCTCCGCCTGAGCCAGAGTCACCTTGTGCTGCTCCAGGCCGCGCTGCAGGGCCTCCAGCTCCCGCCGGGCCTCGCCCAGCTCCTCCTCCGCCTGCCGGGCCTTCTGGGCCAGCTGGGCCCCCTGCAGCCGCTCGCCTTGGAGGCTCTGGCGGGCTTCCCTCAGCTCCAGCTCGGCTTGGGTGGCTGCGGCCTGCAAGGCCTGGGACCCGGCCCGCAGCGCTTCCTGCTCTCGCTCCAGGGCCTGGGCCTCCTCCACCAGGCGCTCCGTCTCCGAGCGCCACCCCTCACGCTCTCGCTCTCGCTTCTCCAGGAGGTCGGCGTGGGCCTCCTGCAGGCTCCTCAGCCGCTCTTCCAAGCCCGACGCGCGCTGGGACTCCGCTTCCCGCAGCTTTTCGGCCTCCCTCAGAGAAGTCCGGGCTTCCGACAAGGCCGCCTCCGTCCCTGACACCAGAGCCTCGCTCTCTTGCTTCGGGCCCTGGCTTTGCCGCCTTTCTGGGGCCAAGGCCTCGCTCTCTCGCCGCTTCTGGGCCTCTGGCAAATGTTCTCCAGGGTCTGAGGCCTGCTCGCTTGCCTCGGACCGCACCTCGCTTTGCAGCGCTTTTAGCTAGACAAGGCACATAAAAGGACAGAATTTATTAGCACAGTGGGACTGCCAACCATTTCAGGCCAGTGGGCACGCTTGGCATTTTGCTAAAGGGCTGTGGGTGCCTGCCACAAAATGGCTGCCGTTAAGGTGTGGCACAGCACAAAGTGGCAGCTCTGGTTTTTTTATGAGAGGCCAAGCTGGTGCACACAGGAACTGAGCAGGAACAGTCTATTGCGCATCGTGTATTTCTGAGATACTGGTGGGCATATCAGTGCCCATGAAAGCTGCAATGGCAACCCCTGTTAGTGTGCCACCTGGAAATTGTCCCGATCCCCATTCCTGTCTTTAAGAAACAACTCCCCCCATATTCCACCCCCCTTGCCCCACCATGCCTGAAGATCAGCTAGGGGAGGCCCCGTTTTGTGGGCCTCTTTTATCAGAAACTCAGTGGATGGGCAGGGACTTTTCTGCTGTGGCACCTTCTGTACTTAAGTCTCTGTCAGTGGAAGCCCACTGCCACTGATTTGCATCAGCTTCTCAGGAAACAAAGCGTTCAGCGTGTTGGTTGTCCAAATTATCAGAGGGAACAGGAAACTGTCAATGTGTCTGGGGTTAAATGTCATGTTCTCGAGGGACAGGAGGAGCTTTCTGAAGGAGCAGGGACTGTCTTGTTTTAGTTGATTATAGGTATGGTGCTCTGGGAGGCTTTTCGGCTGAAGAGCAGGGTACCAAATGCTCTAAATAAATACCTCTCCATCAAGGGCTGCGTTCTTTGGTTCCAAACTCCTAGACTTGCTGGGGTCCTCCAGGGCCTGCTGAAGCCTCCTGCGCAGATCCTGGTTCTCCCTCTCCAGGGTCAGCAACCGACCGATGTCTTCTTTCACCTCATCACTCAAGAGAATAGGCCTTTCAGAAGGACCTAGAGAAGCAGATGAAGGGGGAAAATACATTTCTGCCTCTAGAATGACTCTGAGGATCTTGCTAGAAAATGGAAAGGCAAGGCCACACTCACCACCTGGGGCCCAGTCATCTTCTAGTTCTTCCGCACGGAGAATGTTGATGGGCTCCGCTAAACTTCGCCTCAGCTGCCTCTCAAGAGCCATGTTTTCTCTTAGAAGCTCCTCTGTCTGCTGGTAGAGCTGGTCCCGTTCCTGTGCACAGAGTCTATGCTTAAATTTCATGGTGCTGTACAGTATTTCATGGATATCAATTTGTTGTTAAATTTCATGCTGCAGTTCCGGTCACCTCACCACAAAGAGTTGGAAAAGGTTCAGGAAAAGGCAACAAAAAATGATCAAGGAGATTGAGTGACATCCCCATGAGGAAAAGTTATGACATTTGGTGCATTTTAGTTTAGTCCTCCCTGATGAGTTCTACAAGGGGCAACACAAGGTTTTATGTTGTGAACCGCCCTGAGATCCACGGATGGAGGGCGGTGATCAATTTCAATTAGCAACAACAACAACACGGAGATTAAGGAGGAGGAAGCTGACAGGCACTGTCACCCTCCGGACTGGATGTAAGCAAGAAGGCAGGCAGGTGCAGGATTGAGGGCAGAGCGAAATAATAATAATAATCTTATTATTTATACCCCGCCCATCTGGCTGTGTTTCCCCAGCCACTCTGGCCTGCTTACAGCATATTAAAAATTGTAATACATTAGACATGAAAAAATTCCCATACAGGGTTGCCTTCAGATGTCTTCTAAAAGTCAGGTAGTTGTTTATTTCCTTGACATCTGATGAGAGGGCGTTGCACAGGGTGGTTGAAAGTTGGGGGGGCATTGCCCCATTTGCCCATATGGAGCAGCTTCCCCTGGGTCTCTCACCTCTTGGGCCTCGTTCAGGTAGCTTTGCAGGTGCAACTTCTCCTTCTCCAGCTGGCTCAGGTGCTTCCCCCGGGCGCGAGCAGCCTCCAGCTGTCCTTCCATCATGGCCTTTGTCTCCAGCAAGGCCTGGGAAAACTCACGCTCCTCCTGCCCATCCAAAGCAGCTCATCAAACACCACAGCCAGATCTAGGTTTGAGGACCCTTCTTCCGCCCTGTGTCAGTGCCTCCCCCCGCTGCCCATGCCACTCAGGTAGACTTAGCTGGCAGGGGCAAGCGACAATAAAGCTCCAGGCAGCTCCCAGTGAGAGTCTGGGAGCCACCATTTTAAATACCCACAACGCCTTTGGCAGAGCTTTACTCCTGGGCAGGGGTGAGGCATTTGTTCAGCATCAGGGCTGCATCCTCTTCGGGGCAACTTTCCGGGGCCAAAGGGTAAGTGGTCAGAGCACTGAATGCAAATGTTGCCTTCATAGAGTAGGTTAGTTTCTATGCACATGCGTAGTCCCTCTTCCTGGGAAACTTTGGGAATTGTCATTCCACAAGGGGAATAGGGGATTGCCTACCAATTCTCCACACCCTTAACACACTACACTTCCCAGAATTCTTCGGGGGAAGCCATGTTGAAAGTGGCATTGTAGTGATTTAAATGTGTGGTGTGAATGTGGCTGAAAGGATACACACCCACCCCTTTGATAACTGATCAGCGGCCAGTTGTCAACCTTACCTTCAGCTGGACACGGCACTGCTCCAAGGCAGGCAGCCGCTCTCTCAGGGCTGCCAGCTCCGCCTGAAGGCGCTCTGTCCGCAAGGCCTTCTCTCGCAAGGCGTCCAGCTCATCCCGGTACAGCCCAGCCAGGCGGGCCTCGCCTACCAGTGCCCGGTTCTGGTGAAAGCAGGAGAACAAATTAGAAATAAGTGGCATGGTGAGTGGCAGGTGAATTAGGCACAAGGAGGCAAAGGTGTATGGATAAGCCACCTGGGGTAGTTTGGACTCAGGGTCCCAAGAAATGCTATTTTGTCCCTGCCAGAGCTGCAGCCTCGCAGGGAGAGGGCTGGGGAGGGGATTGGTCCCCTCAGGTCTATTCTAGGCTGTGGGTCGTCTATGTGGCACCCACAGGTGTCAGTGTGCCTGCCAGTACCTCCTATGGCACCCACAAAATGTCTCACCAAATATCCCCTTAAAAATCCACAATACATACACTTCCTGCTCAGTTTGCACTGACTCAGCCTCTCCTTCATTGAACACGTCCCCTTAAGCATGTCCACATTTCATTGGATGCCAGGACTGGATCCTCCACCCTCCTTTCCATTCTGAAGAGAAGTGCAAAGAAAGCTTCTCTCTCTGCAAGTGGTGGTGGCAGATGCAGGTGCCTTTTCTACCATTGATGGGGCAGCCAATGGAGGAGCATGCCTACACCATTTTGTTCTCCTCACCCTCTTTTTTTCTGTCCTGTAAGACATACCATCCAACTTTTCCCATGTCACAATCTCGCCCCCCAAAAGCGCTTTTTCATAGCCCAAGAGTGAGCAAAATTGCGGCACCCAAAATGGCAGCCGCGATCTTGCACGAAGAAACAGGATGTCCCGTTTTTTCCAGGACGCTTGGTGGGTATGTTAAGATGGGGCAGTCATTATGCCATGCCCCCACAGCCGCCTTTTTACGTTATGCTGCACCATGCCCCCACAACAGCCATTTTGTGACTGGTGCTCACAGCGCTTTCTTCAATATTTAATATGTGCCCAGTGCTCTCACTCATCCTGCCCTCAATAAGGTTGCCAACTTTTCCAGGCCTCATCCCTAAATGGTCAGCTTTTGTTTATTAAAACAAGGGAGACAGGGAAAGAAGGCACCAGGAGTTACTCCTGCTGGGCTTTTTCCACTGCCCTTCCCATCACAAGACCAGCTATCAGCAGCTGTCCTGAGGGAAGGATGCCACCACCTGCTCCTGTTCCAGCTGAGTTGCCCCCTTCACATCTCCCACCAGCTGCCCAGTGTGAAGGACCCCAGTGACCTGTGATATTTTGGTATCATTTACTACAAGCGTAATAATGTCTTTTGATGTAAACCACCTCGGAAGGATGTGGTTTTGGAAAGGAAGTTATTTACTGAAAGTATTTATAACCCTCTCTGCAGCAGGGAAAGGAGGTGGGGGGAAAAGGGTTATTAGAAGTGGCTTGCAGTGACCAATAACAAGCAGTTTTCAAGCTTGTGATCTAAAAGACACGACACACAAGGAAAAGGGGAGGGAGGAGGAGGAGGAAAATCAAACCCAGGCACCAGTTCTTAATTACAAAATTCTGGCTTCCTGCAGTTGTTCTGGACTGGATGTTGGATGGGGCCAGGCTGGTCTCCCCCCTTGCCATGCAGCTCTTTCTGGGAGGCAGGGGGTGCAGCCTCCAGTGGCCCTTGATTCTGTGGCCAATAGCATAGGCCAGAGTGTGCACCTTCAGCTCCTCAGTGCCAGGACAACTCCAGCCTTCTGCGTGGCTTTTTTAGCAGTACCTCCTGCCGCATCTTTTGAAGCTGCCCCTCCAAATCCTTCCGTTCATCTTCTTGATCTAACAGCTCCTCCATCTTCTCTTCCCTGGGGGTGGGGAAACAGCACAGTTTTGTTTTATTTATTCATTTTATTAAGTAAAAGTGAGTTTTTATTTTGCAAATGCTCTAAGAGGAAAACCATACGTCAGATTTCTGGGTGAGTTAATGAGCTGGATTGTGTATTACCGCTCCAATGCCACCGTGACCACAAATCATCATAAATGCACAATAGAATTGATAGATGTCTGGAAGGAGCTCAGAGTAATCAACTAAACGCTGTGCCCCCAGCATAGAAATAGGAGTCAGCCACATTTTTTCAAAAAAAGAAAACATTGTTCGGAACTTACATCAGATACCCAAAATGTTCATAGGAGATAAAAGCGTCCTGTTGATGCCCTTGCAGAGTTAGGTGGGGAAATTGAAGTGGGAGAATAAAATCCAACCCCCCTATCTTCTCTAGAACTGCTGTGGCCCCCATTGTTTTTTATGCCCCACAGATGCCCACCCCCATGCTTGACTTTTTTTAGATGTCTGCCCCACTTCCACTCACAGCTCGTGCTGCAGACGCCGCACCTGGGCCCGAGATTCAGCAAGCTGCACCCCAAGATGTTGACGGTGGCCCTCCAGGGGGATGACTAGGGGGCGTTCCTGTTCCTGCTGCAGTTCCCACAATTTCTGTAGAGGGAGATAGAGTAAAGGATGAAGCCATGTGGGTAGAGTGTGGCAGGCAAATGTGGCCCTCCAGGCCTGTTCATCAGGCCCTTGGGATTCTCCCCAGTCAACACCACTCCCTGAGTGTTAGAGGGGGTGTGCCCCCAATCATGGCTAGATTCAGGGTGTCATGATGCTCAAACAGATCCCAGGGCATCTCTGGGCTCAGGTGCGGGAATTAGAACCACACACAGCCCATTGCACCCCCCACCTCCAAGCCTGCGTCTCGCTCGTGCACCAGCTCTTGAATCCGGGACACCACGTTTTGGAGCAACTGTTCCGTTTCGGAGGGTCCCAGTTCCTTCCACTGCAGCCTCACCATGTTCTTGGGCTCCTGGGTCACCTGGGAAGGAGAGGAAGTTGTGCATGAGAACATGCTGCGGCACTGACTTCTTATATGAGACACACAAGAGTTGCCTCAGGGGATAAACTAAATAAGGTTATGGGCATCTGGTGAAGACATCCCTGTCCTGTCACTGGCGTAAAAAAAATCAACTTGAAATGCAGCAGGACGGCTGAAGTATAGGTCAGGGGTCTGCAACCCGCAGCTCTGGAGCCGCATGTGGCTCTTTTACACCTTTGCCGCGGCTCCGGGGCGGATACTAGCGAGGGGAGGAGGCGCATTGTGCGTTAGTCCCCACTGTGGCGGGCGCTGTAGTGGCTGTGACGTCGCATGGGGGCGGTGCGTGCGTTAGTCACGCACCGACGCGACGTCACCTTCCCGCCCGCCCACCCGCTACATTGTAAGGGGCATGTACGCTGGTCACTGCATTGAAAGGGGGCATGTACGCTGGTCACTGTTTTGAAGGAGAGTGAAGAACACACACACACAAAAAGGTAACTTGTTAATTTAACGTTTATTTCTATGAGGAGGAGTAATTCTGAGGGGTCAAATAAAGAAATAATAAAAAAGTGACAAAAAAGTTATTTTTATAATGACGAGTTTTGCGGCTCCCAGTTTTTTTCCCTTCGGAAATGGGTCCAAGTGGCTCTTTTTGTCTTAAAGGTTGCAGACCCCTGGTATAGGTGGATTCCCAAGAGGCAAGACACAGCAAGAACAGCAAGAACCTTTATTGAACTACATAACTGGGAATCGGGCGGAGCAACTGCTTATATACATTCCTGAAAGCCTGGGCCACTCCCACTCCCAACGTGACTGGCTGTCTAAACTTCCAAGCTGCAAATCACAACTCAGAGTTCAAGGGCCAATGGCAGAGGCCCAAATCCTGAAATGTTCTGTGATTGGACATCATGTATCGAATGAGAACACAGGAGCTCAGAATCCTTAGTCCAGACTCAAGCTCAGGCAAACACAGATCACTGAATACATAACAGCGGTGAAGGAGGGAATGGTGACAACCTCACTCACTGTGTTTCAACCAATGGGTGTATACATATAGACAGTGCTTACTTCCATAGCTGTGAACCTTCCCTTTTTTTTGCGGAAAATTCCCTTATTTCAGCGCCGTTTCCCGCTGCTATCCCGGATTATTAGATATCCCGTAGACTGTCTCCGGGACAGGTGAGGCTGCTGATCCCTTCTTTTCAAATCTGAAAGTTGACAGCTATGGCTTACCTCACAATTTCTCCTCACAACATTCCTTCCATTTTGCTTGGGGATCTGCCCTATTCATACAAGGCTTGAAGTGCAAAGCATGATGGGAGAGGAAAAGTAACACAACCCACACTCCTCCGCCTCAAAACCCAGGCCCAGCCTTACCTCTTGGATGAAAGAAGCCAGGGCAGCCTGGGTGCTGATGTCGAGGGTCTGGATTAGACCAATGATCTCGTCTCGCCTTTCACACTGTTGGGATGTTCAAGGAGGGCGATCAGGTTCTCTTACACATTTAAATCACATGGCTTCCCCACCAAAGAATGCCCTGGGAACTGTAGTTTGTTAAAGGGTGCTGGGAACTGTAGCTTTGGGAGGGATAAATGACAGTGTCCGGGGGCAGGGGGAGTGCTTTGAATGTGCTTTAAAGTATGTGCAACCAGTGGCGGACTTGGGGCTCTCAAATTTCTGCGCCCCCTGCCTCTCATGCTTCCGTTCTACAGCATGTTTTGGCACCCCCTGCAGGGCAGCGCCCAGTGCAACTGCACTATTTGTGCTACCCTAAAACCACCTCTGGTAAAATGCCCCAAACACACTTAGGTCACACCCCCACACCATACATTCAAAGCACATGGCTTCCTAAAGGATCCTGGGAACAGTAGTTTGTGAAGAGGGTGTTATGTACTGAGTTGAATAGGATCCAAAATGCAGCAGTCTGATTGGTCCTAGAACAATAGGATCCAAAATGCAGCAGTCTGATTGGTCCTAGAACAATAGGATTCAGAATGCAGCAGTCTAATTGGTCCTAGAACAATGCAGCAGTATGATTGGTCCGCAGGAGCCACCCAATCCAGCTCCAGGTGGAAGTGAATCCACAACCTGATTGGCCTACAGGAGAATCCCGGAATTAGCCAATCATGTGCAGCCCATTGTGTAAATAATGTATATAAAGCAGATATTGTGGGGGAACTTCCATTCCTCCTCACCACTATGAGCATGAAATCCACTCTCGACTCCGAGTATATTTCAGAGGGGTTCTGTGAGGGGTAAACTACAGTCACCAGGATTCTTTGGGGAAAGTTATGTGTTTTAAATAAATGTGTAGTGTGGATGTGACCAAACACACACTCATGCTCTGGACATAAAATCAGTTTAGTAGGTAATTCCCCTCGCTCCAGGGAACCCTGAGTGTTTTAGTTCTTGCTGGGGGTCAAAAGTGTTTGTAAGGGGTGGAGGCCCAGTGGGCCCAGTCCCCCAAATATTTTCCAAAGTGCCTTGAGTATTTCTGGGTAGGTAATGAATTTGGGGAGGATACTGAATTGGGAGGTAATCTAGGTTACAAGGCAGCATATTAATTTGGGGAAATCCATTTGCTTTATTTTTATTTTAGTTGTGACTCGCTTAATACAAAAGGGGGGGGGGAATCTAAGCAGCTTACAAAGGGCACAGCATAAAAACAGACAACAATGCAATAAGATCATTATCAAACCCATAAAACAGACCAAGCAACAGCTGAAAATGTCATCAGCAACAGAACAGTTAACATCCTCTGCCAAATGCCTGGGAGAAGAGCTACACTTTTACCTGATTCTGAAAAGGATATTCACGACATGGTCAGGTGGGTCTCCCTGGGGATGGCATTCCACAGACAGATTACAGGGGCCACAACCAAAAAGGCCCCTTTCCATTGTCTCCACCCTCCAGCAGCTAAATTTGCGCCCCCTGCCCACCCATTCCACACTCCAAAGTACCTGGACAGCACTCCCAAGCAACAGCAGCAACAACTTCTTCATCTCCCCGACAGCCTGTGCTGGATCACACCATTGCAGGAAAAAGGGGGAGAAAGTGTTAATGTGATATTTGAAGGCAAATGCACCCCCATGCCTCGTCTACGAGGTCCAAGTTCCAGAGCCAAACTTTATCCCAACTGGGGTTGTGGCTTGCAAGGATTTTTCTCATTTGAAGGAGCACAAAGCTTGAGGGAGGCCTTCTGATGGCATAGGTCGTATTTGGTAAAAAAGGAGATCAGGCAGGATTCCACAGGAACAACAACAACAACAATTATTGTTTTTACAGTGGTACCTCAGTTTACAAACTTAATCCGTTCTGGAAGTCTGTTCTTAAACCAAAACCGTTCTTAAACTGAGGTGCGCTTTCCCTAATGTGGCCTCCCACCACCGGTGCCCTTCTTAGACCGAGGTAAAGTTCTCAAATCAAGACACTATTTCCAGTTTTGCGGAGTTTGTAAACCAAATTGTTCTTAAACCGAGGTACCACTGTATTTTATTTATATGCTGCACATCTGACTGGGTTGCCCCAGCCACTTTGGGCAGCTCTCAACAAAATATTTCTTTCTTTTTTTAAATAAAAATTTATTAGATTTTCCACAATAATAACAAAAACCACAAAGCAGAATGACACGCAAAAACAAAAAAGAAAAATACATCAATGAATGAATGAAAGAAAAAGGAACAATAAACAGATAAACAATAACAACAAACTTAATTCTTTACAAATCCAACATTTTAAACATCTTGGTTGACTTCCCCTAGTCCCTCCCTTCTGAGTTTCCTTGTAGTTGAAAGTAACAGCTTTCCAATATCATTATTAAACTAAAACAATTTCCAATTGTAGTGCATCTTATTCACATTTCTTAATATTCTAAATCCCATTTATTCCCAACAAAATATTTCTTAAAAAAACACAATAAAAGATCAACCGTTTAAAACTTCCCTGAACAGGAAAGTTCGGATCCATCTGTTTTGGTGGTTTCAGCATCACAATTTTTCTCCCAATAGGCCTTACCTGTGAGAGGATCTTGGGCCAAAAGATGTAAATTAGGAGGCAATGAAAGAATCAGTTGTTGCAAATCGTTCTGGGGAAAAGAAGAGAGAAAGAGCATGGAAGGGGAGAATAATAACAGATAATAGAGTGATGTTGTACTTATTCCTCAGCGTGGAGTAGAGTGTGTTGTAGTGGTTAGAAGGTCAGATGAGGACATGGGAGAAGAGGGTTCAAATCCCCACTGGGTGACTTCAGGCCTGTCACTGCCTCTAAGCCTAACCTACCTTGAAGGACCAACTAAGTTAGTTCTTGGTATGAGATATGCCCTTTTCCCTTATGGGGTATCCAAGAGCCCATATAGAGTCCTTACATAGGTTCCCTATTGGTAGGAGAAAATAACAGAGGCCAACCAGAGAATATTGAGAAGCAAAGCAGCTAGTAAGCTTGATCTTTATTGATCTGTTGCAACAGGGTACTCCCTCACACGCAGGAGAGGAGGAGGACCCAGAAAGATGGTGTGCAAGACCTTATAAAGACTTTTGAAATTCCCATTCTCTAGATCAAGACCACCCCCAGAAACATTATGCATACATCACAGAAGGGGTGTAACCTAAGACCACCCCTCAGATACATCCCACCTACATCACAGAAATTTAAATGTTGTTCACAGAAATTTAAATGTTGTTTTTCTCCTGTCACAGTTTATCTCCTGTCTGGCAAGTTACTTGATTGGATTTCCCGGGGAGCCTGGCCATTCTTTTGTAGTGGTAAAATACTTATTTCCTGGGCCAGGTCACAGGCTCACACCTTATTCAAACAGACATATCCTTGAGACAGGATTTGTGAGGAAAGAGACAATGGGGAGGCTTTTCCAGTTTAACCTTGCAGAGAAAGGATTTGGTCAGTTTAGGAATCAAAATGGTTCCAGGTTGGCTTTCCTGTGCTGATCTATGTACGTGTGGTTATGAACGTTGCCATATATCTAAGACCATAAAATTCCTATCACATTATCCCCCCTTTGGGGCTAGAATTTTTCTTAAAAATTTTTGCCCCACAAATAATAACATCGTATGTTGTAAATGGATGTCTTTGTATAAATATATCATATAAAAATAACACATGTTGCGTTTTGCTACTAAATTACTTGTGGCATTCTAACACTTTGGGAGAGACTATTTACTCAATAGTGTTCTATGCTTTACACCTAGCAGGAAGGTCCACTAATGACTGAAAAATGCAGTTGGTGTTTTGTCCTTCGCCATTTTTGTGTGTTTCTCAGGTGTCAAGCTAGCTCTTCTGTGGTCTCACACTGACATAGTGCTACAGCAACACATCCTGTCTGTTGAATCCCCTCGGGGCTTTCATTTAACCATGTCGCCTGGCATTCACCATAGCTGGCACAGGTTTGGACATCTCGTGAGGGAGATGCCTTGGCCTTGGCCTTTCTATGGGATTTTATTATAGGCTGTGGTCTTGCACTCATGGGAAGTCGCTCACTTGCACTTAAAGGACCAAAAAGCTAATTGCAGCCTGGATACACTTGCCCAATTCAAACTGAGTCCAATTTGAATTTTTCTTGCCCCATGGTTCTCAACTCTTCAAACCAATCTGTTAAAAGACAACCATTCTTAACAAGGGCAGTTGTCCAAATAAGTCAATTTAAGTCTATAAGGGATCATTCCTGCTAAACCAAAGCATATCCACCTTCATGTTTCTTAGAAGCTTCTCCTTGGTAAAGCAAGTTTTGGCACATTTTTTTTAAAATGGGTAGGGAAGGTTGGCATAGTGCCAGGTGGAACAATGAAATGTGGTTATAAATTGATCTAAACATTGGACTACACAATAGTGTGAGCTATTAGAAAGTATAAAATGTATGAGAATCCTCCACTGGGGTGTAAGGAATAAGACATTAAACATAAAAACAATTAAACACAAAAATAGCCCCCCCCCCTTTGTGGAAATAACACACTGTCAGACACATTTCAACATCCTTACGTAATAACACATAATACAAAACAAACTAATAATATATCAGTTGCATATCTTGAGACAATTGTGATCTTCTCAATCCTGGAGCACAGTCTTAAGGTTCAAGTGAGAAAATGTCCTTGCAATTCAACTCCTCCCCCCTTTGTCAGCCCCACTCCCCCGTCAGTCTATATCCTTTGAAAGAAGATAGCTGTGGGCACTTTGAAAACTTTGGTGTCTGTTGCTGCAGGTGGTGGCGAAGCTTTTTCATCATAGGTCTGTAGTAACACATCTGTAGAAGTGACATCCTGTAAGGGGGCGGGGGTTTTAGGGACTTAAAAGACAGTTAGAAAAAGAAGGGGCAAAAGCCCCCCCCCAATCTCCTTGAGTTATTAGCTGCAAATAATAAAATCTTAGCATGTTAAGCATTTTACTCATTTTAATATTATTATCACATTTTCATATAATTACTGTTATTATCTGCTAAGTTTGTTTGCTTTCCTTCACTTAGTTTTTGTTGTTCCCCCCCCCATATTATTACATAAAAAATTACTCCACGTGTATAGAAAGAGAACTGTAAAAAATACAACAAAGGTTAAAAAATAAAAAAGAAAGCAAAAAATTAGATTACCAGTCAGATGAAAACATACTTGACACAAAGACATCAAATTTAGAAAAGAATTATTATTAAATAATAATAAGATATTATCAAAACCACACAGATTACCACTGGACTGAAAAAAATGGGAAAACAATGGAAAAAAGGTTCAAATTCAGCATGTGCTATCTGATAAGTAGAACTTGATGAAAATGACTTTCAACATGTGATGGACATGTCCCCAAAGTAAAACACACACACACACACACACACGCACACACACACACACACACACACACAATGACCTATGAGGAACCAAAAATAAATAAATGCTAAGACACACAATTTTTTTTTTTTTTTAAACCTGAAGTAACCTGAAGTAACCTGTTTTGGCATTCTAACAACCCAATGAAAAACTGATTAATAAATGAAAAACAGATTATTTGTAACCTAAAAAAGTGTCAGAGATAGAGGAAAATCAACTAATATAGCAGGGATTCAGACTTGTTTTGCTGAACAGAAAGAAAGTGACTGTTTGGCTTTTAGGGAAGAAAGACAAAAGAAATACAAATGCAATTACTTTTTATAGAGTATTTAAATCACTGTTTGCATCCCCTCATTATCATTTGTGCTGTGGGAGAAAAGAAGGGACAAACACTTTGTTAATGGGGTTCACATATCCTGTTAAAAGGGGAAATTATTTCATGTGAAAAGTCTGTCAGGAAATGCTGTTCCTAAAATGCATAGGCATACACACACACACACAAAAAAAAAACTGTTATAAAATTTAAATCCCATTGGGGAGGCAAACTACTCAAGAGAGGAACTCACAGTGGGAGTGCTTTGATATTTACCTGTGAAAAGAAATCGGCATGTCAAGACCTGAAACCTGGCAACCTCTTGACCCTTGATGGTCCAGTACCCAACCCCTTTGTCTTAATTAACCCCTGGAGCAAAAGACACATCAAGGATGATCTCCCCCAATGGTTCCAAGTTCCACACAAGGAAATTTGAATAGGTTTCTTCCCGCAGCACACTCTCCAAACCTCCTCTCCCCCCTCCTTCCTCTCTCTCTCTCTTTTAAGCTGATCTAGCCTCTGTGCATGTGCAGAGTTCATGTCTCAGCAAACCTTTTATACTATTGAAAATGTTGCATCTTTTGGCTAAATTAGAATTTGAATAAGGGAAGGGAAGGGTAAGGAGTAGATTTTAAAAATAGGGTTAGATTTTAAAACAAAAAGGAGAAACTCAGCAATTCAAGTATTCACCAAAGCTAGCAATTGCAGCCCAAGCAAAGGACTGCTTCCTTTATGTACAGGAAAGGGCTAATATCCCTCTGGCTATTCGCGGAACAATGCCACGCCCTTATATATGGGGGAAATGGCCAGAGTCAGAATTCATAGGATTTATTATTATTATTATTATTATTATTATTATTATTATTATTTTAATATTCTCAGTCATTCAGCCTCACCATTTGCAGACAAATTTTTCTGTCCTTTATTTACAGGATGGATGGTTAAGGCTCATTCTACTTGACTATATGAATTTTTATGTGCTTAAACTTTGAATAGACTTTTAAGTTTGATTTTTGTAAATAATAGACAAAATGATAAATACTGTAATCAGTCAAATGCTTGATATCACCAGTTGTGCTTCAAAAACATCACGGCTTTCACCCCTCACCTTTTAAAAACAAAGAGCAAATCTGGGCTGAATTTCAACTCATTAGCCACAAATTGGGAGAGTTGAAAGGGACCCTGGGGTCATCTAGTCCAACCCTAAAATACAGGGTTCATAGCAAGATGCAGACAAATTTTTCTGTCCTTTATTTACAGGATGGATGGTTAAGGCTCATTCTACTTGACTATATGAATTTTTATGTGCTTAAACTTTGAATAGACTTTTAAGTTTGATTTTTGTAAATAATAGACAAAATGATAAATACTGTAATCACTCAAATGCTTGATATCACCAGTTGTGCTTCAAAAACATCACGGCTTTCACCCCTCACCTTTTAAAAACAAAGAGCAAATCTGGGCTGAATTTCAACTCATTAGCCACAAATTGGGAGAGTTGAAAGGGACCCTGGGGTCATCTAGTCCAACCCTAAAATACAGGGTTCATAGCAAGATTTGTACTACCAGAGAGACACACACATACATATGTACACAGACACAACTGGGGAAGAGACCACAAGCCATACACCTATCACAAGTCATGCGCATATCATGTACTAATGAAGAGGAAAATAAAAGTACCCAACTTTATACAGAACCCTTTTAGCAGATCTTGAAGCTAGTTTGAGTGAGAGTTTACTCCTTAGACTAGACTAAAGAGTGCAAGTTCCTAGAGAAATTATCTTTAAAGGAAGATTGAAGTGAACATTTTCCTAAGATAGGGAGAGGATCTCTTATAAATCATAGTTAAAACAGCCATAGATTTGATTTAAAAGGAATACAAAAGTGACAATTTTAACTGAACTTGCAGAGGAATAGAAAGTCTAATCTATGCCCCCCCCTTGCAGTTTCCTTTAAAGGAAGCTTACTCGGGAGTAAATTTACTTGGCACAGAAGTAAGAAGGAGAAGAAAAGAGAGAAAAAATATGAAAGAGACAGAATGAAACAAGGGGGGGCATTTTCTAAGAAAAGAGTCCAGTAAGTCTTATAGAGACTGATATCTGGACCGGACTCATAGAATTTTGCTGGCCATGGAAGCCTCTACATTTAATAACAATTTTCTTAGAAAGAACACCATACTTTCATAGGCATGTGCTTAATGAAATACATACACTGCATTTTAGCTTGAGACAGCAATTTTGCTCAACTAGGCTTTTGCAGCAGAAACATTAGGTTAACTTCACATTCCAGAATAGACTGGAACACAGGTGTACTCACAAACTCAAAAGTTACAACAAAACATCATTTACCATTAAATAGACTTAAAATCAGCCTCCTCACTTAATCTAGAGGAAGGAGGTGGGGTAATCCTTCTTTCAGAACACAAGTAGCACGTATACAGGATTTTACCACTTGGGAGGAAAACTCTCTTTTAGAGCCTCTCTCAAATAACAAACATTTGCACACTTCATTCTCCATTTTTGTTGATAAGGCCCAACATGGCTTTCTTAGATTTAGAATTGGAGCAAGCTTGCATTTTTATTTTAGATGGCACATTTAAGATAAGCAGCTGCTGGATGTTACCTAAGTACAATTTAAACACAGGAAAAACGTTTCTTAAACACAATTGAAGGGGACTGTCAGAGTCCAGGCGGGAAGTAAGCACCAATTGGGCTTCTTTCACGCCAGGGGTCTGAGGACTAATTTTCTTTTGATTGGGGTGCACCCATTTTCAATTAAAAGGGGTTTGGACCTGGGCAAAACTCTGAAGGGTCCGGAAAAGGGGAAATCTGGACAAAACTCTGAGGGGAAAAAACCTGGGGATACCTTGACAAATCTCCGAAGGGGAAAAACCTGGGGACACCTGGACAAATCTCCGAAGGGGAAAAAACCTGGGGATACCTGGACAAATCTCCGAAGGGGAAAAACCTGGGGACACCTGGACAAATCTCCGAAGGGGGAAAAAACCTGGGGATACCTGGACAAATCTCCGAAGGGGAAAAACCTGGGGACACCTGGACAAATCTCCGAAGGGGAAAAACCTGGGGATACCTGGACAAATCTCTGAGGGGAAAAAAACCTGGGGATACCTGGACAAATCTCCGAGGGGAAAAACCTGGGGATACCTCACTTAATCTCTATTCTACAACCCACAGCAACCTCCCTGCCTCTTACAATCTAACTCAGAGTCCCTACTGAACGCTTGCACACTTGCAATGCCAGATTGAGACTCTGGAATATGAAAGATGGAAAGGAATTCAGCGCCCTTGCGTTCTCTGTTCACAGGTCATTTCTAACAAAGATCGCCATGGCAGAGGTGCGGCTGCGCTGGGAGTTATAGTTTTGGGAATTATAGTTTTCAGTGCAGAAGAAATTGCACAACCTTTCTGGGCAAAACTCCGAAGGAATAGGTTGGCATATAGAATTAAGTAGAAGAAATCACACACAACCTTGTGCCTGGGCATACTCCGAAGGGCTAGGGCTGGTGTTGAGATCAAGAAGATAGAAAGGAGGAGAAGGCAATTTTTTCAAGAGTTAAAGTGAGGAAAGAAGTAAGGATTTGAGAAGTATAGGTTTGCTGTGGTTTTCAGAATCCCACCCCACTACCCGTTTTTCCTACTCATACTCACTTCGCAAGCGCTGTCCTGGTGATCCCGGGATCTCTTGACTGGTTGTTTAAGGCCGGCCTGATCAAGCGTTGCTTCCTCTGGTTAGCCCCGCTGAACCTCCAGTTATTTCCAGACCCTGGGAATCGATGGAGGACTGGTCATTCCTCCTGGCAAACTGCCTGGTGCGCGCTGGATAACCAGTCCTTCCTCGCTTCCAGAATCCGGGTAACCAAAAGTCCCTTCGTGCGTGGTCGCCATCTGTTGTAAATAAAATATATGCCCTTTTCCCTTATGGGGTATCCAAGAGCCCATATAGAGTCCTTACATAGGTTCCCTATTGGTAGGAGAAAATAACAGAGGCCAACCAGAGAATATTGAGAAGCAAAGCAGCTAGTAAGCTTGATCTTTATTGATCTGTTGCAACAGGGTACTCCCTCACACGCAGGAGAGGAGGAGGACCCAGAAAGATGGTGTGCAAGACCTTATAAAGACTTTTGAAATTCCCATTCTCTAGATCAAGACCACCCCCAGAAACATTATGCATACATCACAGAAGGGGTGTAACCTAAGACCACCCCTCAGATACATCCCACCTACATCACAGAAATTTAAATGTTGTTCACAGAAATTTAAATGTTGTTTTTCTCCTGTCACAGTTTATCTCCTGTCTGGCAAGTTACTTGATTGGATTTCCCGGGGAGCCTGGCCATTCTTTTGTAGTGGTAAAATACTTATTTCCTGGGCCAGGTCACAGGCTCACACCTTATTCAAACAGACATATCCTTGAGACAGGATTTGTGAGGAAAGAGACAATGGGGAGGCTTTTCCAGTTTAACCTTGCAGAGAAAGGATTTGGTCAGTTTAGGAATCAAAATGGTTCCAGGTTGGCTTTCCTGTGCTGATCTATGTACGTGTGGTTATGAACGTTGCCATATATCTAAGACCATAAAATTCCTATCACAGTGTGCATGCACACTTCTTCAGATACACTACACACACACACAGATACACACACGAAAGCTCATACCAAGAACTAACTTACTTGGTCTTTAAGGTGCTACTGGAAGGAATTTTTTTGTTTTGACTATGGCAGACCAACACGGCTACCTATCTGTAACTACCTTGAAGGGTTGTTGTGTCGGTGAAATGGTTGTGGGGTGGGGGGGAAGAAGCATGTATGTCAATGTTACGGAAAAATCTAGGTGTGAGGCTGCTTAGTCACCCAGCTCGTCAGGCAGAGCCCGCGGGTCCCTGTGGAATAAAGGAAGGATTCCAGCCACCAACCGGAGCAAATAGCTGTAGACCAAAGTTTATTGCGCAGTAGGTTCAAAGAGGAAATTTGAACCCTGAGGATGGGGTGACAAAGACTTTTAAAACTTCCCCACCATATCCCAGAATACAGTTTGTACAGCATCATTGCTACATCACTGACATGTCACAAAAGGGGAGGGATAGACCGGGGTGACACTAGTTTAACCTTGGCAGACATGTCCAGACATGTCCTCTGTACAAGATTAGCATAGACAAATATGTCTTAAGTACCCACCACCCGAAAGTACAATAGAACCTCCTTTGCATGTCTGGAGCCTGAGGCAAGTCAGGTGATGAGATTTGGCTTCCCTTGGCTAACAATGAGCCCAGCAATTGTCACCTCTGGACACTTCCTGGAGTCCTTTTTCAAGGGGAAAATAGCTTTGGAGTGGAGGAAACTGGCAAAGGAGATGATTTTATATTATTTTTAAAGCTAGGTAACTTCCCTGAGCTGTCAAGCTGATAGGATACATTCAGGCATGATATTTGTAACATTTAACTTTAAAGATGTGCCCCCCCCCCCGTAATTTCCGTCACAGTCACCTTGAGCTCCTTAGAGAGAGTGCTGAGAATTGTTAGGAGACATACACACACCCTTCCTCTTATAGAGCTACAATTTCCAGAGTGGTTTTAACAGTCAATCCCTCTTCCCAGGGAATTCTGGGAATTGCTAAACACACTGAAGAAATCACAGCTCCCATAGTTCTTTGGGAGAAGCCATGGAATGTTTAAGGTGGTTTCATAGCACTTTAAATCTATGGTGTGAATATGTCCTCAAGTTACACCAGTTTAGCCCTGGCTAAAACGGGTTGAGGACGCGGGTGGCGCTGTGGGTAAAACCTCAGCGCCTAGGACTTGCCAATCGCATGGTCGGCGGTTCGAATCCCCGCGGTGGGGTGCGCTCCCGCTGCTCGGTCCCAGCGCCTGCCAACCTAGCAGTTCGAAAGCACCCCTGGGTGCAAGTAGATAAATAGGGACCGCTTACCAGCGGGAAGGTAAACGGCGTTTCCGTGTGCGGCTCTGGCTCGCCAGAGTAGCTTCGTCATGCTGGCCACGTGACCCGTGTTGTAAATAAAATATATGCCCTTTTCCCTTATGGGGTATCCAAGAGCCCTTACATAGGTTCCCTATTGGTAGGAGAAAATAATAGAGGCCAACCAGAGAATATTGAGAAGCAAAGCAGCTAGTAAGCCTGATCTTTATTGATCTGTTGCAACAGGGTACTCCCTCACACGCAGGAGAGGAGGAGGACCCAGAAAGATGGTGTGCAAGACCTTATAAAGACTTTTGAAATTCCCATTCTCTAGGATACCCCATAAGGGAAAAGGGCATATATTTTATTTACAACACCCGGAAGTGTCTGCGGACAGTGCTGGCTCCCGGCCTCTAGAGTGAGATGAGCGCACAACCCTAGAGTCTGTCAAGACTGGCCCGTACGGGCAGGGGTACCTTTACCTTTACCTTTACCTTTAAAACGGGTTGAAGGACATACAGTGGCATATATCTGGCTCAGCTGGGGTGTGGGATTTACATCAGAGTAGTCCTGGCCGAGCCACAACTCAGTTGTGCTAAATCCATACTCTCTCATCCTGGTGGTTGGTTGGTTTTGCTCTGTTAGTGACCAAACTACAGTATATAATGACATAATCCATACACCAAACATGGCTGTTTCTATTAAAATACTATAGCAACATACTAGAACAATTATTTTATAAAGCACTGAAACCCCAATCAGCTTCTGGTCTTTTTGTGGCATGGGTTGTGTCAGGAACGTGTGGGGACAGCAGAGCAGAAGCCATGGGTTCAGATCCAATGTGTGTTAAATCCTACTCACCTGGTAGAACCTGCGCAGCCGCTGCAGAAGGCCCTGGAGCATTTGCAAGCTGTGTGCCTCTTCGTTTTGCTCACTCCACGGAGGTTGCGCTCCCCCAGGAATCAGGTCTCTAGGAAAGGTAACCAGGCACATTGGAAGAATGAGTGGAGGGAAATCCTGTCCCCAGCAGCAGAGAAAATCTACAATCGTTTTACTGGCCTAGCCAAGTTTAAAGAGTGAACAGTTATACAACAGTGGTTCAGCAGGTTCTCTCTCTCCACAATAGATTTTGGGAACTGTAATTCTAATAGGATGATCTGGGGATCTCTAACGTATGGGAAATGTAGTGTACGCCTCACAGGGCTAACCATGGGTTGCAGAATCACAACAAATAGACAGACAGACAGACAGACAGACAGATAGATGAGCAGTAGAAGTGCAGTGGAGTGTGAGAAGAGGCGATTGCAACATTTTGGAAACAGAGCCCGGCGGGTTAGGATTTGTAAATAAAACATTCCAAAGCAGAACATTATGCTGCTTGTTTCATTTGTTATTCTGAGCCAAAAGTATTCTCTGCCAGAGGGGAGGTGCAATCCCAGGCTGATGCAGAGGTTTTGGATGCAGTTTGGACTAGCGTACATCTTTGCAAGCAAATTTTCCTGATATAAGGTGTCATTTTCAGCTGTGTGTTCATTTTCACGGACACTTTCCCCAAATAAAGGCATTTTTATAAATGTTGTTAGGTCGGGAGAGCTGCAGAGAACATTTTGTATAAGTGGTGAATTTTGAAAGTGGTTGTGTTTCTGTTTTCCTGTTGTTTTGGAAAGAGAATATTTGATAAATTAAAGTTTTGATTTAATATTATTTAATATTATTTTTATTAAATTTTCTGATTTACAATTTCAGATAAGCATTTTACATAGTTGAGATATCATTGAGTTGCCTTCTTCTCTTTCCATGGTTCATTTTACATATATCCCTGCATAGTTGACAAGAATTATGCCAATCAGTTTTCCATTATTACATCCATCAAAAACTGTTGAATTTATCTTAATGCTGTCAGCGTTTTCAGCTGTACATACAGTAATTATTTTCCCTATACAGTACTGTATTTAATAAACGTTTTCCGGTAAATGAAAGTGGAATCAAATCACTTTACACACAGGGCTTTTTTTGGTAGTGCTTATTTTTCCTGTGTAAAAAGCCATTATCTTAAAAGCACTATAAGCTCTTATCTATTTTTTGAATCAACAATATTCCCCCCAGAGGGAGGTGCACCGTTCCTGGAGGTACTGCAATACCAGGTCGATGCATGGAGTGGACGGAGCAAGCCCCTATTCCATCTCCCAGCTCCAAAAATCCATTTAATATATAGTCCTCAAATAGAGGACATATCAGATATTAAACTGATAAGAACAGATACTACACTTGATCTTAGCCAAAAGGCCGAGAAGCGATACCAAATTGAGCAAAAATTAAGCGGGTCTCCTTTTCCCATGGCTTTTGAGGTGATGGTGGGTACTTGGCGCCGCAAAGCTCTCACCACCTCATCAGAATCAGCACCGTTTCCAATTCCACAAAATACACTCGGACAACGTTTCTGCTTTTGTTGTCCAGCTAAGCAGCCTCTTGATGGACAGTTTAACCTCAAAAAAAGTGGATTTTGTCGATCTTGTCAATTTCTCAGCCGTCTGCCTCGTTGCTCTGATGCCCATTGGTGCTAAATCTGCATAAACCCGCCCATTTACCCGCCATGCGCTGCGCCACTGTTAACTCGCTGCGTGCCAGCAGATGTCCCAAAAGTTTCCCCTTGATTCTGTTCCCTTGAGAGCATCCTGCAAAAACACAGCTGTACAAGCTGAACTCTCCTGCTGACATTAATATCCGTGCTCCTTAGCAGAGGATTGTTTGCTGGAAAAATGTTCCCTGCAAAACACTGAAATGCTGAAAAAGAAATTTCTGTTATGCCACTACAGCAGAAAATCTATCTGGTTTCATAGACCCTTTGAAATGATTGGCCAGTGAAGCCAGATTCTTTTCGTTTATCTGAAGATGTACTTCTGCCCTTTCAACTTTGATTTGAGCATGAAATATACAGCTGAATCCCGAATGATTCATACGATCTTTTTTTCTTTTTATTGATTTTCCTTAATTTAATGCATTGGGAATATCTCTGTTTGCAAATTAACATGCTTCAAGCACATTGAAAAGAACCACAACTATATTTGAGACTGGGATGGAAGGTTCTGTCAATTTCGGTTCCCCCAGTTTCTCATTTTTTGAATCTTAAATTCAGTTCTCCACGTTTTGCAGCAATTTGCAAATGTTTGGTTTTTTAAAAAAAATCCTCAGGAAAATTCATCAGCATTTTGATACAATTTTTTCCTCATTTTGGTTTGCATATTGTTTTGGAGAGTGTAGATTTGATAGATTCAACATTAAATGTGCAGGGAGACAAATTTCTCTTCCATCCCTAATGAGAGCTTGGGTAGCTGGTCAGTTGGTTGCAACTGTAACAAAAAGGAGGCTTGTGACACGTCAAAGACTCCTGAATTAATTTTGGCATACAGTTCCATGGACATATTACTTCTGAACGTTTAGTTTTTATTATTGTTGTCCTTTTATTAATAATATTAAAAGCATCCAAAACAACCTGATGTCTTCAATTTAAAAATAATCTGAGCAGGATTTAATTAGCTTTCATATACAGTTACTGGGTTGCAGGGGATATAAATTCTGGGAGCCACCCAAAAAAAACCCAAGAAAAGCAGTAGTGGTGGTTAAATAACTTAAGAAAGCTATTAACTTAATAATGCCTAAGCAATTGAAAGAGTGTTTACTTCCCTGGGCAAATTTTCAGTTCATAATAATTTAAGGATTCCCCTTAAGTCCATGAAAGCCTGATGTTCTGTATTGTCAGTGGCTATCCAGATGTAGGTCACAAAATGGGGGAAGAACTTTGCTGCTTGCCCCCCCCCCCAACCTCTGGTATCCAGTGCCCTGCTGCCTCTGAATAGGAGGTTCCATTTAACTACGCTATGTATCAACAGTGGGGAATGTGTGGCGTATCAGGTGAAGACATCCTTGCCCCCACCCTGTGAACAACAGTGTGAACAACCCCCGTGTAAATGCAGCTTCAAACACGGGGGGGGGGGGAATGACCTCACTGCTAATGTAATGTAATATAAATGCATTTGTTCTGATTTGCTTGCAAAGAGGTTACATAGCAATGAGCATTCATTCTGATACCCTGATTTGCTTGCGCACCGTTTGAATGTGCATCAATCCATCCCACAGTGCATTCCCCCCCCCCCCATAAAATATGTTGTTACAGGACATCAGAACATTGTGAATTAAATTGTACAAACCTAAATTTCTCAGTACTGTATCTGCTTTTCATTATTGCCACTATTATGTTTATCTTTCACCTTTCCTCTGAGTTGCTCAAGGTGTCATATATGGTTCTCCATCTCTCCATTTTATCCTCACAGCAATATTGGGAGGTAAGTCAGGAGATATTGGGAGATAGTGACTGGCCCAAGGTCACCCAGTGGGTGGTTTTCATTCTGGTCTCCCAGTTATTATTACTCTAACCACTGCACCACACTGTCTCTCACTTGAACCCCTCCCAGAAAATACTGACCCTCTGGAGGTGCCCCGGTGATCCGCTCAGTACACTATGACTCACATTATCTCCATGATATGGATGAGGGTGTCCCCACGGACCAGCTTGAGGAAATATTCTTGTGCTCCCTCATGTCTCTTCTTCCTATGGGGAGAAGGGGGCTGGTCAGATCTCGAGTAAGTCAGCGTCTCCAAGGTTCGCACCTGTAAGGAGAAGAGAAATTTGATTCAGTTCATGTTTATAAGTGAACCTATCTAATCCACACTTTCATACCCTCCAACATTTCTCTGATGAAAATAGGGATGTTCTATTTAATAATAATGATACCCCCATCTGTCCGGGTTGCTCCAGCCACTCTGAGTGGCTTCCAACATATATAGGTAAAGGGACCCCTGACCATTAGGTCCAGTCGTGACCGACTCTGGGGTTGCGGCGCTCATCTCGCTTTATTGGCCGAGGGAGTCGGCGTACAGCTTCCGGGTCATGTGACCAGCATGACTAAGCCGCTTCTGGTGAACCAGAGCAGCGCACGGAAATACCGTTTACCTTCCTGCTGGAGCGGTACCTATTTATCTACTTGCACTTTGACGTGCTTTCGAACTGCTAGGTTGGCAGGAGCAGGGACCGAGCAACGGGAGCTCACCCCGTCGCGGGGATTCGAACCACCAACCTTCCTAGGCTCTGTGGTTTAACCCACAGCGCCACCCGCGTCCACCATATATAAAAACATAATAAAACATTAAACATTGAAAAAACTTCAATATACAGGGCTGCCTTCAGATGTCTTCTAAAGGTTGTATAGTTACTTATCTCCTTGACTAGGAAGTTGCATAAGTCCACGCCCTCCAACATTTGTCCGATGAAAATAAGGAAATCCCAAGGAAAAGTGGGACATTCCAGGCTCAAATCAGAAACTTCTGTAAATCTGGGACTATCCCTGGAAAATAGGGACACTTGGAGGGTCTGTTATCCGGTTGGAAGGCTTTTCATATTCTTAAGTCCAGTGCCCGGTACAGCAGAACAAACCGCCAGGTCCCTAAACACTGCTGGGCTGGCTTACCACATTTCAAAGGAAGTGAAGCAATACACATTACCATGTAAATAACCCCAACTTATCAAGTCTACATTTACCTAACTGCAACAAGAAGCTTAATATCTGGTGGGTTCAGCAATAAAGCTTCCCAAAATCTTACCTAGTTGGAAACCAGGGTCAAAGTGTTTTCTGCTCTGTATGTGTGTACCAATTATGTGTGTGCGTGTGTGCACCTGTATGTACACACACACACACAAACAAATAGTTGATCTGCCCAACTTGCCATAAAATTACCCAGCAATATGTGTCAGGCGACATATTGCCAAAACTCCTGGGCTCAGCATGACTTCAAAACCAGGGATATAAGGCCCTTATTTAGGGCAACCCAGAAGAGCAACACCCCCTCCTCAAAACCTCCCCCCCCCAGATGCTCACCCAGGTGACTAGCGGCCCCGAGACAAAACCTTCCAGCATCTCAGTGACATCTCCATCCATGGTGCCACCAAAGGGGCGCCCTCTCCTTGTTGGTTGTGCCTTCTGTTCTGCGCTATGCACTTAAAGCTTATACTTCCTTCCGTAATCTTCGGCTGATGAGACTGATCGGTGGGGGGTGGGAGCAAGAGAGGAAGCCACATAGGATGAAGGGACTGATTTCTTAATTTCCGCCACGCAGGAAGCCACCAGTGCGAAATATGTCCTCGACGAAAGATTTCCAGTTCTCAGCGCACCAGCCTGAGTGAGGCATTGCAGGCTTGCTTTGCAGGAGAGGGCAACGCTGACTTCATTTCCCGTTCTCGCTGCAGAAAAACCACACTCCAGAGGTGGCAATGGAGGAACGGAGAGGGCAGAAGTCATCTGTCGCCGCCTCAAAGTGGCCCGTCAGGTTTGTGGTCCGAACTGTCGGTTGGTGGAAGAGGCCTGCCTTTTGCACATCCATTATGCCAGAATCCTAATAGCGAGCCAGGCTTCAAGGCGATGGGACCATGAGGCAGGAAGTTCCACTGACTCCTGTCCTGACACATCAAGGGCAAAGACCTTCAGGTTCGGGGGCCAAATGTGGCTTCTCGGGGCTCTCCCCAGACCACATCCCATGGCCGTACCCCTCACTGGCCCTGCTGAGTGTTTTTGCCTGACTGGAATGTGTCATCGAACCCTGATCCTGCCTCTTGCTGGCCTGATTGAGGGGAAAGGGTAGGCGAGTGTGTAGACCACAACTAGCCTGTGGTTCAAAGTTGCAATTTTTATATTAATGGCTCCACCCACGCTTGCCTCTGGCCCCACCCACAACTAGCATGTGGCCCTTGGGAGGTTGCCCTGAGGGGAAGGCGGCCCTTGGGTTGAAAAAGATTCCAGCCCCTTGACCACTGTGGCCACATTTACAATGATACCACTTTATATGGTCATGGCTTCCATCAAAGATTCCTGAGAACTGTAGTTTGTTAAGGGTGCTGAGAGACCCGTATCTCCCTTCACACAGCGCTGCAATTCACAGAATTCCCTGGGAAGAAGGGTTGGCGATTACACCCCTCTGGCAGTTGTAGCTCACCAGACAGGTCATTCCGCAAATGGGGTACTACTACCAAGAAGGCCCTGTCGCAGGCCAGCGCCAATCGATTGCAATTCCAATTTTGTGATTAGACATGAGATGAAGCAAAACAGGAAAAATGCATTGGGTGCTGAAAGCAGACTCTTGTCGGGACATGACACAGTCGGGGCACTAGCTGGCCACGAGAGGAAACTGAATTTGTGGCTGAGTGTGAGAACATCAGCGCCTGAGAAAAATACGAAAGAGGGCTTCATCCACGGGCCTGTTTGGTCTACTCATTTAAGAGAGACTCGGCTAAAAATGAATCTCTTGTGAGGAAACCTTTTTTTTTTTTAGCTTCTGCTTCAGATTGTGCTAGTGACACATTGGGGAAACTATGAAGCCATCGCTAGTTTCAGAAGGGCTGGAAAAGCATCATGGACATGGAAAAAGCGGTGCTTTTTGTTCCTGTGGCAGCAAAATAGCTTCCACTCATACATGATTAGAGGATGACAACCCAGCGCCCACAGGCGCCCGGGCGCCCACCAACAGCTATGGCACCTGCGAAAGGTCCCAATGAATACCTCCCTTCAGAAATCCACAGGGGCCAAATTGAGGGGGAGCATGCCTGTCCCATTTTGGTTTGGTCCCATTTGTCTTTTACTGCTTTTAGATGCGGCAGCCATTTTGTGCAATTAATCACGTCCTGAACAACTGCCTCAAGGTGATTTAAATATACAGTGGTACCTCGGTTTAAGAACAGCCCTGTTAACGAACTATTCGGTTTATGAACTCCACAAAACCGGAAGTAGTGTCCCGGTTTGTGAACTTTTACCTTGGTCTATGAATGGAAGCCGAATGGTGGAAGGGCACTGGCGGTAGGAGGCCTCATTAGGGAAAGCGCGCCTTGGTTTAAGAACGGTTTCGGTTTAAGAACGGACTTCCAGAATGGATTAAGTTCGTAAACTGAGGGGTACCACTGTAAATGCAATTTATTATTATTAATTATTATTATTATTTCCTGTCCTTCTGACTGGGTTTCCCCAGCCACCATACCTTTACCAAAATGCTGATGGATGGCCACACCGACTCAGCCCCGGACACACTGAACAGATGCTTGGAAGTTGTGGCTGGATGGTTTTGTGGGAGCCGATTGAAACTAAATCCTTTGAAGAGGTCCTCTGGCTGGGTCGGGATGGCATGGGGATGAGGGACCAACTCCCTTCCCTTGCGGGGGCCCAGTTAATGCCAGTGCCTTCCGTTAAGAGTTTGGGTGTAATCCTTGATGCCTCCCTTTCCGTGGAGGCACAGGTTACAACAACAGCCAAGGCGACATTTTTCCACCTTCGCCGCATTAAGCAGTTGGTCCCTTACCTTTCCCGCCCTGATCTGGCCACAGTGATCCATGCGACGGTCACCTCCAGGTTTGACTACTGTAATTCGCTCTACGCGGGGCTGCCCTTGAAACTGTCCCAGAAACTCCAGCGGGTGCAGAATGCTGCAGCGAGGCTCCTCACGGGGTCTTTGCCATGGGAGCATATTCACCCAGTGCTTTTCCAGCTGCACTGGCTCCGAGTGGAGTATCGGGTCAGGTTTAAGGTGCTGGTTTTGACCGTTAAAGCACTTTAGGGCCCTCGTATTTACGGGAAAGCCTCTCCTGGTATGCCTCACAGAGGACCTTAAGGTCCATGAATAATCATAGAGGTCCCAGGCTCTAAGGAAGTCAGATTATCCTCCACAAGGGCCAGGGCCTTCGCAGTGATGGCTCCGACCTGGTGGAATGCTCTGCCCCATGAGACTAGGGCCCTTCAGGATTTAACCTCCTTCCGCAGGGCCTGTAAGACAGAGCTATTCCACCTGGCTTTCAATTTGAACTTAGCCTGATCTTTTATTCCCCTTCCTTCCTTCCCTCCCCCTCCCCTTTTTATGAAGATTACCCGCTCTGGGATCCCACAGCTAATTTTCCCCTGGTCTCCTCGCTGGCCCAAATAGGACTAATTTAGCCAGCTAGCCCTGGTGATCATCTAATGTTTATTGGATGGATCTCCCCCTAAATTGATTTTTGAATTCTGAATTTATTGTTATTCACGTTTTATACTGTATTTTATGCTGTTTTTTGTTGCATCAATTAAGTGTTTTAAATTTGTTGTTAGCCGCCCTGAGCCCAGTTTTCTGAACTGGGAAGGGCGGGGTATAAATAAAAAGTTATTATTATTATTAAAACACTCTTATACCACTTTAACAGCTATGGCTTCCCCCAAAGAATCCTCCTAACATGCTTAACAAACCTACAGTTCCCAGGATTCCTTGGGTGAAACTGTGACTGTTTAGAGGCTTTCCCCCAGCTGGATTAATAATAATAATAATAATAATAATAATAATAATAATAATAATAATAATAACAACTTTTTATTTATACCCCGCCCATCTGGCTGAGTTTCCCCAGTCTTTTCCACAAGCATCCACCTCTGCTAGGGTTTTAGTGTTGCTTTAAATGGTTGTGGGTTGTTTTTCCCCCATTTTTAACTGGTTTAAATTGCGTGTAAATTAGCTAGAGACGGTGCTTTAGAAGACTATTCATAATTCAACGGTAACAACAACAGGAACAGGAACAATAATAGCAGCAATAAGCAACTGAATGCCATCTTGGCATGGGCGCACCCTGGTAACAGAAAACCACAATAGAGAAATCCAGTATAATTTTTATTTCAGGCAATAGTGTCCAAGATAACGGAGTCAAGACAGAGAAGGGATTCAAAGCAGCTACATACACATCCCTGCCCTTGTAAAGGCCAAATCTTAGAAGCTGTGAGGGGGAAATAAATCAGCCCACCATCCCTTCTGCATAGCAAGAACCAGGTGAGGGTGGGTGCTTTTGTGCGTCTCTTGCTGTCAGGGCTTAGGAGACGGGTTAACAGCCGCGGTGTCCCAGGTCTCAGAGCTGAGATAGGATGTTGCTGGCCAAACTACAGGTGAGGCCTGTGCCATCCTCTTCTATGTTGAGGGCCTTCACCACACCATCTTCGACTACCAAAGAGAACCTGTAGGGGGAGATGGAAGACACACACGGCTCAGGACAAGAAAAAGATTATTTTTTTACAGCTGGATGAGGAGAGAGTTATCTGTGGTGACTTAAGAAGGCCCCATCTGCACTTATACGTTTAAAGCAGTGTCAGGCCACTTTAAAACAGCCATGGCTTCCCCCAAAGAACCCTGTCAACCTCAGAGAGCTACAGTTTCCCAAGCAGGCCCAAAAATGATGCAGGAAATGAACCTGCCTAATATCAAAGAGCAGGGAGTTCCAAAGTGTAGGTGCTTCAACTCCAAAACTTAGTGCTTTCAAAAACAGGGCAGAGCTGCAACCACCTGAGCAGTTCTAACAGCCAAACTCTCCAGAGTGGATATGTCAGTTTTGGTGTTCTCATTTTTCCAGTAATTTTAAATTCAGGTTTCACATTTCTGAGGCAATTTGCTATATATATATATATATATATATATATATATATATATATATACCTGATTAAAGTTCTTCAGCATTTTAGTGCTAATTTTATCCTGAGAAACAGCATTTTTTAATACAGTTTTGACTAAGCTACACATTTTTTGCAAGCAATTTCTGCACATATATTTTTTTTTTAAAAAAGGAGATTGGATGGCAATCTATCAGGGATTCTTTAGCTGTGACTCCTGCAGGGGAGGGGTTTGGACTAGATGGTACTTAAAGAGTCCATTCCAATGCTACCATTCTATGATTCTATTAATGTATTCAATTATGCAGATTTCTCCCTAATGTGCACATTTTTGTAAACATCTTTTGGTTGGAGAACTCTGTCACAAAATTGAGATGCATGCAGGTTTCAAAGCAGGGCCGTGTTTTGGTTCTCAATTCTCATACTGTTTTGGAAAGCGGGGATTTGCTTTGGCTTTAAACGTAACTGAAATGAATTTCTTCCCATCCCCCAAGAGAAGATGTGCAGCAGTTTGGAGAGAAGGGCAGAGGCTGGCTCTTTGTTCTTTTGCCCTTCTGCTACCCAGGTCTTGAAGTTCTGCCTCTCCTACCCCCAACCCCCAGTTCCCCTTACCGTTTGGATCGCTGAGTCCCAAAAAGCTCCCGGAGTGGCTCTTTGTCCAGCAACAGGTTTGTGGCCTGTGTGAAAGGGGAAACAATTGGGTGGGAACTTAGAGGAGAGTAAGAAGGGAGACGCATACTGGCCCTGTTATAAAAAAACAAAAACCTGACACCTAGGGGTCCATGTTTTGCAGGCATCATTAAATACTGCCACTCTCAGCTGTCAAATGGACTCCCGTTTCCTGGAATGACTCTGGCCTATTTTCCCTCGCTACTCCTTATTACCAGGATCCAGTTCCTGAACACCTCCAGTTGACCCCCTCAAAAAAAAACATCTTTTTCTCAGGAGCTTTTGGATCTTTCCATTAGCCACTAGGTGGAGGAACCTCAGATCAAGGGATCTATTGTGGTTCTCCAGACCTCTTGTTCTGATCCTCAGGACTCTCCTCCAGGTAACACCCCTCACTGGTCCCGATTTGCACCCTCTCCTTGAGTGTTTTTGGCTTGGCTGGAATGTGTCACTGAAATATCCAATTACGATTCTCGCTTGGCTGGATGGAGGATGTAAACTAACCTACTTACAATTTACAATTGTTGCTCTTCCCCCAGCCAGCACTTGCATGTGGCCCCTGGATGGTTGCTTAAAAGGGATTGTGGCCCTTGGGCTGAAAAACGTCCCTAGCTCCCTCCTGGCCCCACATGATACTTTATTGCAGCCTTGTGCAACTGGGTTCCCTTCAGATGTCACTAGACTCTTATCTCCCATCAGCCTCAGTTGCCCGGGGCAGAGTGAGGAGGGTGGTAAAGATGGCGCAGCTGGGTTGCATAGGTGAGGGGTCTTTCCGAGCCTCCGGGGCACTTGGCCAGTACCTGGCCTTACTGAGCAACCGCTGGCACCAGGCCTGCTTCCTGTTCATGCCTTCACCTCCTAACTTGCTTTGTTGTTTCTCCACGTTGATTGTGGACAGTGGTCCCTTAGGGGTGGAGACCTAGCACACCTGTTCTTTCTGAAGTGGCTATGGACATAGGACCAATCTATGCAAATAAATAAACCACCTTTAAGTGTCAAACTGACAGCAGTATGGAGGTATATGAAGTGGCTCTTTGGGGTCTCAGACAGCGAGAGGGTCTTCTCCAGCTGTGCTGCTCAGGATCCTTCAACCCAGAGATCCTACATGTGTGTTTCAGGGCAGCAAGGAGGTCAGAAAGCCTACATTGATACTCTGCCACAGGGGCTCTTGAGGACATTTCATCAAACCACGCCCTCCTGTCCATCAGCAGGGAGTGCGCAGTGTTGAAGCAGACACCTCCAACCCCACCTCCCACAGGCCAACTTTGATAGGTCAGCTGAAGAGCCTGTCAGTCACCTGATGTCAACATGACACCAGTGATTGTCCGGTGGGTGGCCCCCTGCCCACCAGTAAAGTTGACTTGTGATGGTGGGGGACAAAGAGCTGGAATAAGGTTCCCTCAGCCCTGCCCTAGGACAAGAGATTTCAGTACCTTCCCAAATGCTCCTGTGGGATCAGCCAACATCCGGACCTGAGGAGAGAAAGCAAAACACAAACATTTAAGGGGACCACCGCTATTCAAACAGGCAGAATCGCTGCAGGCTGAGCAGTGACGTCCAAGAAGCGCAAACCTTTAAAATAAATTTGTTACAAACCCTGCAAAAACACCAAAGTTTAATGACTGCGGCCATTCGAATGAGAGGATTTCAATTTCTCTCGTTTCCCCAATCTCAAATTCAGTTCTCCACATTTTCACATCTGTTTTGAGATTTTTTAAATTTAAGTTCTCATTAAAATGCACCGGCACATTAATTTATACTAATACATCTGTCCCTTTGTATTCAGATTTGCCCAACATACACATGTCCGCAAAGTATATTTCCCCTAATATTAAGCTTTCCTTATGTTATTTTCACTATTGGATGCAGACTTTTCTGATTCTGTCTGGGGCAGAATTCCCCTTTGCTCCCCTTGCAAACAAAACAACGGGGAGGGGATGCCTGAACTGTACAGTGGTACCTCGGGTTAAGAACTTAATTTGTTCCAGAGGTCTGTTCTTAACCTGAAACTGTTTTCAACCTGAGGTACCACTTTAGCTAATGGGGCCTCCAGCTGCCTCCACACAATTTCTGTTCTCATTCTGAAGCAAATTCTTAACCCGAGGTATTATTTCTGGGTTAGCGGAGTCTGTAACCTGAAGCGTCTGTAACCTGAAGCATCTGTAACCCGAGGTACCACTGTATTTTTAACACTGACTGGCAGTGGCTTTCCGCCTTTTTAAGCAGGAGTCTCTCCCTGAGCCCTGCCTGGAGATGCTGGGCACTGAACCTGGGATGTTCTGCTTGCAATGCAGATATGCTCTGCCACAGATCTACAGCCTTTCTCCTTTACGCAAGACCAGAACAGAAGGACTTTGGTCAGATCCTGCAAGGCTGTTCTTACGCTGAAAAGGAACACTCTCTGTTGCAAGCCGGCTGTTGCATAACAAACGAAACAGCCGTTCCCAGAGTTACACAAGCAAGTCTTGCCAGTGCAGTGCGCCTGGAGGACAGAGCAGAAAGCACTTCTAGGAGAGACGCATGCTGAGACCTGGCTTTGCTGAGGCCAGGATCGCGGTGTCTTTCCACCCCCTCCAGCCAGCCTCTCCCAGCCACCCTCCCACTTCTACCATGCTCATTAAACAAATACACCTAATGCCAAATGCCAAATTAATGGGAAAATAAGCTTTTTTAAAAGAGAGAGAGAGAGAGAAATGGAGAGAAAGATCTCTGTGTATCTGTCTGGGCCTGTCAGCCAGCATTTTCCCTAAATTTCAGATAGCCGAGGGTGAATACAGAAAGCAGCTCTGACTTTCTCTCTCTTTTTTTTTGCAGCCTAAGGCCATAGCTTAGTAGTAGAACACCTGCTTTGCATGCAGAAGGTCCCAAGTTCAATCACCCGTGGCATCTTCAGATAAAGCTGGAAGAAACTCCCTGGAGAGTCACTGCCAGTCAGTATGGACGGCGTATTTTTGTGAACCAATTAAATCTTTGTGTGGGTTTTTTTTTAATTGAGCGGTATATAAATTTTGTTAAATAATAGATACGGCAATGCTGAGCTAATGGCCCAACTCAGCAGAAGGCAGATTCCTGTGTTCATTTAAACCCTGCTTGCCATTCATTTACAAAACCAGTGACATTTATTAATACAACAACAAAAGGAAATTCTTATTATGTAGGTGACTCCCTGCTTGAGGAATGCTCTTCCTGGGGAAGCTTGCCTGCTGCTGTCATCACATAGCTTTAGGAACCAGACAAGAATATTTCTTTTCTGGTAGGCCTTGGCCTTTGGCTCTAAATAATCTTAAAAGCAGACATCACCTTGCCAACAAAGGTCCGTATAGTTAAAGTCATGGTTTTCCCAGTAGTGATGTATGGAAGTGAGAACTGGACCATAAAGAAGGCTGATCGCTGAAGAATTGATGCTTTTGAATTATGGTGTTGGAGGAGACTCTTGAGAGTCCCATGGACTGCAAGAAGTTCAAACTTCTCCATTCTTAAGGAAATCAGCCCTGAGTGCTCACTGGAAGGACAGATCGTGAAGCTGAGGCTCCAATACTTTGGCCACCTCGTGAGAAGAGAAGACTCCCTGGAAAAGACCCTGATGTTGGGAAAGATGGAGGGCACAAGGAGAAGGGGACGACAGAGGACGAGATGGTTAGACAGTGTTCTTGAAGCTACCAACATGAGTTTGACCAAACTGCGGGAGGCAGTGGAAGACAGGAGTGCCTGGCGTGCTCTGGTCCATGCGGTCACAAAGAGTCGGACACAACTAAATGACTAAACAACAACAATAAATCTGTGGCCTGTGTTCTAAGAAATGGTACCCAAGTTCAATTCCCCCACCACTGCCCTTGCTGGCCCTTTCCCCTTGGGTGTCTTTTGTTTGCTTTTGTTTTTTTAGATTGTAAGCCTGAGGGCAGGGGGCATCTTGTTCTAATCGACTGTACATAAGCCACTCTGAAGAATATACAAAGAGACCTTGGACAGGCCAACGGCCTGTGCAGTCCAGCACTCTGTCCTCGCAGTGGAGACCCCAATGGGAAGCCTGCAAGCAATGGCAATTCTCCCCCCCTTGCAATTCCCAGTAGTGAGTATTCAGAGGCAGACTGCCTCTGACAGTGCAGGGAGAACAGCCGCCTTGGCTAGTAGCTACCGGTAGCCTTCTACTCGAGGAATTTGCCTAATCCAAGTTGATGGCTGTTACTCGTCTCATGGTTCCTGCCATGTTTTTTTAAAAAAAACTTCCCAGATTAGTTTGCAGCAATCTACCTCCCTCTGCTACTACAAGAATAGGAAGAATTCCCTCTGGCCCTGTTAACTTTTTATACTCTCCCTTCCGCTATCTAAATTCATTAACATACTTGGATTCTGAAGAGGTGATTTGCTTAAAGAGGAACCTTTGCCTGTCTGGAGACACAAGCGGGGCCTGGGAGAATCACGGAAGCAGCAGAGAGAGCATTTTCTGTCCCCGTTGGGGTACTGCCTCTGTTCTTCTTTGGGCTGGTACAGATCTCTGATGATCTATCCAGCCAAGCCCAGTTTTAGTGGGATTGAGAGAGCAGGGGACGAGAGCCAAGCATTTAATTCACTACTGATCCTTTCCCTGCACAAAGAGCCTTTAAAACACGCAATGGCTGGAGGACCTGGATATGAATTCCCCCAGCCTCCAGCTACTAACTGGGAGCAGATAGGAAGCTGTGTTTGGCCCCTGTAGCTCAATATTATAAATTGTTGTACTCTACTGGGTCATTTGGGTGAAGGGCAGACTAATACTACTACTAATAATAATGGTAATAATATTTTTTAAATTTATATGCAGTTTATATGCCAAAATGGCAAACATATTGACTGGCAATGGCTCTCCAGGATTTCAGACAGGAAGTCTCACCCAGTGCTAACTGAAGGTGCCATATATGAAGTCCAAGGTGTGTATGTGAGGGGGGGGGGAGGGACGGAGGGAGCAAGAAAGAGACATAGACCATAAGGACTAGAAACTTGACTGTTTAAAAAAGTGTGACTCTCCCATTACCTTTCCCTCGGCTTTGTGAGCCTTTCCCCACTCGCTCATGACGAAGACGTCGTTGACAGACAAGCAGGCGATGACCTCCACTCCTTTGCCCTTCAGCTGTCCTGCCTTCTCCACGTAGCCTGGGAGGTGGGTCTGTGTCAGGGTGTGGGTGCAACAGGGAAGAACAAGCTCTCAGAGACTTTCACGGGGTAGCACATAAAGGGAACAGGGGGATAAGAATAGCAGAAAGCAGCACCAGGGATGGGGAGCAGATATTGTTGGATTGCAACATCTCTCCTGATGGTTGGCCATGCTGCCTAGGTCTGATGGGGGTTGGGAGTCTACTCATCTGGAAGCCGCACGTTCCCCATCCCTGATATAGGTCTTCAGGCCAGAGGTTCCTAGGCTGAGAACACACCATTCTTACTAGACCCCACCCCCAGTTCTTAGCCTGAGCCAGGCCTGCTTCCCAACCGTGGTTCTCGAGGGTCATATCTGACCACAATGACAGCATTGGTTTGAATGCTAAGATTTTTTACTTAATTCTTTTTTAAAAAACAAACCATCCTTCATCCAGAGGGCCCCAGGGCTGTTTACAAAAGATTTCTTGTCGTTCTAGCTTTCCTACAGCTCTTGCCAATGCACCTTCAAATTTGGATTCAAAAACTGGGACGGGTGAGGCCCCAAATACACCAGGCCAGGCATGCCGGTTAATGGAATTCTCAACAGATAAAAGATTTGACATGGGAGATCAGTGCCAAGTATCCTGGGAACCTTATGCTGCATGATATGGAGAGGGCAGAAGAATCAGACTAAGCACTAACATTTGTTTTTGTATTTCATTTGTTTGTTTTTCTTACCATTATTGTCATTCTGGGGATTTCGTTCATTTTTTTTTGTTATTTATGATCTGCAGCCTTAATAAAGGTGTATTAATTTTTATTTGCAGAATTAATAAAGAATAATTAAAGAAAAAGATTGGGACTGGGCTGGAAGGGTGTGTGGGGAGATGGACACACTCAGGTCTTACTCACTTTTGAACAACCTGGAGTGAACGCACCAGGCACCCCAAACAAGATCCCTTTCTTGCCTGTGAAGAGGCTCGCCACATTCACCTTGTTGCCAGGGTCACCCTCGTAGACTTCCACGCTGGGCAGCTTGTCTCCAACCTGTCAGAGAGAGGAAAGAGCAGTAAAGACCTACATTGGCTCCCAGTACGTTTCCGAGCACAATTCAAAGTGTTGGTGCTGACCTTTAAAGCCCTAAAGGGCCTCGGTCCTGTATACCTGAAGGAGCGTCTCCACCTCCATCGTTCTGCCCGGATGCTGAGGTCCAGCACCGAGGGCTTTCTGGCGGTTCCCTTGCTACGAGAAGCCAAGTTACAGGGAAGTTGCAGAGGGCCTTCTCGGTAGTGGCACCCGCCCTGTGGAACGCCCTCCCACCAGAGGTCAAAGAGAAAAATAACTACCAAACTTTTAGAAGACATCTGAAGGCAGCCCTGTTTAGGGAAGCTTTTAATGTTTAATAGGTTATTGTATTTTAGTGTTTTGTTGGAAGCCGCCCAGAGTGGCTGGGGAAACCCAGCCAGATGGGTGGGGTATAAATAATAAGTTATTATTATATTATTATTATAAAGCACAGAGGACTCGCCGTCCTCTTAATTCAGGAGGAGGGAAAACCTTTCTCATCCCGAGGGCCACATTCCCTTGTTGGCAACCTTCTGAGGGCCACAAGTAACCCAAACCCTGATCCAGGGGAAAGAGGACACAAAGCTGCAGCTCAGTGGGGGAGCATCTGCTTTGAATGCAGAAGGTTTCAGGTTCAATTCTTGGCATCTCCAGGTCAGGCCAGTGATGTCCCCCCTTCCTGAAACTCTGGAGAGCTTCTGCCAGTCAGTGTAGACAAAACCCAAAGGTCTGACTTGGTATAAGGCGGCTTCCTATGTTCCTATTTTGCTCTGGTGGTGGGGACTCCGAGGTATCAACTGAATTCAGGCCTAACGGATGTGGGTTTCCCTGCAGTTCCATAACCCTAAACGTATGTGGTACAGCACATGTGCTACGGATCAAAGTTTGGAATTCAAATGGGGCAGACAAGGGAAGGTTAGAGGGATCTCAGATAAAACGTCTCTTCAGTTTTTCTCACCTTTGAAGGACTACAATTCCCATCATTCCTGACCATTATTGCATATAAAGAAACCTAGAGGTTGTGTTCTATGGGGCTAGGTGCTTTCCCACTGCCCTTCTCCCCCCAAGCTAGGTCCTAGAAAGTCATGTCCCATTTTTATCTGATGGAACCCTAGTAAACCTCTGCTACAGGCACAGCAGAAACATGTAAACCTTTAGGAAATTGAATTTGACTGGATTAAGTGTGGGCTTAACGTCTGGAGTGCTCTTTCCCACTGCATTCCTTGGTTAGACATTCACTCTTCTACTGGGCGGGGCAGCCCCACAGATCAAGGGCGGCTGCCTTTCTACAGGGTCAGGGATGCACCCAATTTCCCTGAGGGTGGGGTGTCTCTGTCCCATTAGGGCTTGTTATTGCAGAGACCAAGGACTAGTGATCTCAGGAACCATCTGTCGTCAGTGAAGCTGTTCTTCTGCATGGGGGTGAGCGGGCTTCCTATATGGGGCTTGAGGAGGTACTCTTTTCTAAAGGCTTTCGATAGCATAGACTTCAGAACTGGTAGGCTACAGGGAGCTGTGAAGCAGCCTATGCCGCCGCCCCCCCCCCCCCGTAAACAGATCCCAGACTACTATGAGGTTGGAGGTTTTTTCCTTTTTGCAATGGGCCTTCCAGTGCTGGCGTTCTATAGGACAGAGGAGTGTCCTACTCTCTATGGGGCTGCATGGAAGCAGGGTTTATTACACAGGTGTGGGGTGGGGGCTACTTTTCTCAAAATGCTTTCTATTGCATAGGCCCCAGAGCTGATGCACTGTGGGGAGCTGTGAAACAAGCATATACAGTACTCACTGGGGCTGTTCGTTTGCAGGAGAGGGTTGGGCTTTCTATTGCACGGATCCCCAGATGGAATTCTATGGGGCTGGGGCTGTTCTTTTGCAATGGGGCTTCCAAAGCTGGCCCGTCCTCTGTGTCTGTGGGGCTGTCCTTGTCCATTGCGGGAGGAGGGCATATTCTGCACAGACCCTGGGCAGATGCCCTATAGGGCTGCCTGGGTTGCCTGGCTTCTATGGGGCTAGAAGGGGGCGCTCTTTTGCAAGGGGCTCTGGAGAAGAGGGGTCTTTTCTCTCTCTCCGCAGACTCCCCTCTCCTAGGTCTCACCTTGAGGGCCGCCATGGCTGGTGCTCCGGTTGCAAAGGCCCGCTGAACGATCCCTGCTGCCGACCAACCCTTTCCAAGAGGGGAGCCTGGACTTGCTCCCCAGCGGCGACTCAGCCAGCCCAGCACCTCCGCCCCTTTCCACCTCGTTGCCATGGAAATCGCGGGAGTGACAGCTGCCGCGGCAACCCCGGCCCTTTGAAGTCCTCCTCCTCCAAGTCGTGCAGGCGCAAAGCACCCAGGCCCGCTTTTTAATTCCACCGCAAGGGGGGCTAGTGGGGAAATTTGCATCCACCTCATTTGCATGCTTCGGAATTATCACGATCGGCTCGGCCAGATTGTCCGAGTTCTACGACCGTGTTCATGGAAGACAATCTTATTCGGCTAGGAGTGATCGCCAAAGAAGACTCAGAAATAATTTCAGTGGCACTTACTCACAGGTAGGCGTGCAGCCTACATTTGCAGGATATGAACATCTGGGCATTTATTTCCTAAATATGTACGTCCTATTGAACACCGTGGGAAATTTGCTCTCGAGGAAGCACGCGTAGCCTCAGCAGGCAACCCTCTCGTATGCTGATCGCCCGGGATTAAACCTCATGAAGCTCAGGAGGACCTACTGTACTCCTGAGTAAATGTGGCACAAGCACTGGGCTGCAACAGGTTGCAGTCTTTATGTACGTTTTCTGGGGCGTAAGCCCCACTGATGTTTAGTGGTGGCTCACTTCCGAGTAAGACTTTCCATACGCCACGCGTGTTTGGGAGTAGGCCCATCCTTGCGCGCACAGATTTCCATGTTTTTACTCACAAAGTAAATCCCAGTGATTTTAGTAGGGCCTGACTTGGGAGTTGTGTCTCATAGGTTTCAACGGCATTTATTTCCCGAGTAGACACAGGAGTAATCTGCAAGGCTGCAAAGCACCGCAGTTCAGTGCTTACTTGGGATAAGAAGACTGTTGGACAGAGGGAGTGACTTCCGAGTTAGGCACGTGCAGGATCGCGCTTGCTTGCTCGGCCTTCTTTGCATTCTAATTTCAAACGCTTTGGCTTTCGAGTTGCGTAATAAGGCCGCTCCTCACTACTTTGTATTGGCAAATAAGCCTGCCAGTTCTACGAGGTGCACAGTGTGCCCTTTTTTTGCATACCGACCGCGCTGTTTACAAACACTTAACAATGCTGTATGGCTATTTGACACATTTCCAAGCAACTCTCGGGTTAGAAAACAAACGCTGCCCCACCCACAGCTCCACGTGGTTGGGAACAAAAATTAACCGGAACTGACTGGGAGGAAGGTCAGGTTTCTCATACGCGCGGGAGGGTCGTTGCGCATGGTCGCCGGAAGTGAGTGATAAAAGACCGCCGGAAGTGGGTTAGAAAAACCAGCCTTTCAACCAAACCGGAAGTTGTCCGAGGCTTATTACGCACGCACATGTTACCTTCGCTTGCTTTGGTGGCCGCTGTCCTGAAAACATGAAGCTCCTGACGCACAACATGCTCACCTCCCACGTGCGAGGAGTGAGGCCCGGTGGAGGATTCCCCCTTCGTATCCAGGTAACGGGGATTTCTTCAGACCACGGCCACTTTCCCCACTCTAGAATTGGGTGGTGGGAGCAGAGTATATATAACGTGGGGACTTGACAGCCAGGATCCCTCCTTCACACTCACCCGCCGCTTTGTTTTTGCTGCCTAACTGGAATCTGGTGTTTATGGTTGCTGACAACAATCACCAGTATTTAGTATCTCTATAGTGCTTTCTATGAACAATCATTTAGCTGAAAAACAATGCTGTAAGGTTGAGCTTGGTCTCGTTATTTATTGTGTTTATATCCTACCTTTTCTCCAAGGGACTCTAAGGTGGAGTATGTGGAATACAGTATTGCTGTCTTATATCAAGTCAGATTGTTGGTTCATCTAACTTTGTCGAACTTGCTGGTAGTGGCTCTCTGGGGTATCAAACACAGCCTCCTTGGAAATGGTGTATATTAAAACTCTGATTTATTTAAACACGCACACACATCTTCCCCCTAAAGCCACTTGCGAGTTATGTGGCAAGTGAATTAGTGGCTTTCTAGTTCAGTTCAGTTTCTTAGCCACAAAACTGCATCCACTCTCATTTATATAGCACATTTCATGTGCTGAAATTTCTTTATTTAGATTGTTAGTAATCTGTAGACTATTATTGTTGTAGATTTGTGGTGCAGAAGTAATCCACACCAGTTTTGTCATATCTGCTTACAGTCCAGTCCAGTGTATCTGCTTGGAAATAATCCCATTGAGCTCAATGGAGTTTATTTCCAGAGAGGTTGGGATAGGTTTGCACCATTAGTAAGTTTAGTGCTAAAATGGAATTCTGTACCTGAGACTTCACATGTCATGCCTTTGTTACCACACTGCATGTGACATAAAGTTCTGCTGCAGGGGTGGCTGATGTGGAGCTCTCCAGATGCCATTGTACTACAACTCCCATCAGCTTCTGCTAGCATGGTAAGGGATGATGGGAGTTGTAGTCTGAGTACATCTAGATGGCACCTTGTGGACTATGCCTGTTCCAATACCATTCTCTCTGTCCTCCTCCCCCTCCACCCCTCCCACCTCTGGCAATCCTACTACACTTAGGGAAATGCAGGGGAGGAAATATTTGTTCCCTTGTTCTTTGAGCCACGCTGCTCTCCCATCAGCCTTTCCCCCCTCTAACAGGCCACAGAAGTGAAGGTGAACAATGTCGATTTCAACCCGGAGTTCACAGCGCGGATGGTACCCAAGGTGGAATGGGCAGCTTTGGTAGAGGCAGCGGAGAGTGTGAGTAATTGGCTCTGGATGTTTTTTTGGGGGTAGGGGGAGACTGGCTAGAATTATAGAGGCGTAGTCTCTTTTTTCCCTTCCTACAGCCAATTGCTATTTATATTTTTGTATGTGTGTGTACACGCACACGATTTCCTTCATTTACTGTAAACCACCCTAGGAATTTATGAACTGAAGGGTGTTGTATGCCTAAATAAACTTGTGTTTAGACTTCTGCAGAGTCTGGAGAATGGACAGCTTGTATGTCTCAAATGAACCAAGTGACATAGGAAGGGGAAGGAGACCACAGATTTTCAAGTGTGTTACTTGACTGGTGGAGATCTAAGGCAAAGAGCATATAGGTTCCCCGCATTCAGTCAAGACTGCCTGTGGAGGACAGAAAAGTTTTCCATTCCTGACTTGGTGGAGGTGGGCCCACCCTGTCTTCTGCCACCACCTGAGCAGACAAATGCCAGAGTGAAGCTTGTGGGTGGAGTAAAATATCCAGTATTTGGTGGCTAAAGACAGATAACTGGTCCTTGAATACTGAAAGGTTGTGAAAATGGCACAAACTTTTATATTCTGCACCCTTCTGCAGTTGGGTCACCGATCAGACCTGCCCCCTGAGCCCATCCCTGACTTCGAGAGCAATGAGGATTTCCTTCGAAAAGTCCATCATGTGCTGATGGAGGTAAGGGAACCTCTTCTTTGCCTGTTTCCCACCCTGACCCACAGAAACCTGTCATAATGCAGAGTCTGACCACTTGTCTCAATTCCTAGGAACAAAATCTAGCATCTTTCCAATGCTGTGATATCTCCACCTATCTTCTCTCTCTTCACCTTGCCACTTCCTGTTTTCAACTCCCAAAGTGGTGTGCAGTTCCCTTTACCTGCTGTTTTTATATTTCTTCTTGTGCAGGTGGAAGTGGTGGAAGGTGTGCTGAAATGCCCAGATACTGGGCGTGAGTTTCCCATAACTAAAGGGATACCTAACATGTTGCTGAGCGAAGAGGAGACTTGAGCTGGTTTGTGTCAATGGAGCTTTGAGAAGCAAGCCTTGCGGGTGATGGGGGGTGGGATATGTTCCTGTGGAAAGCCCAGCACCCTTCTTTTTCTGTTGGGGGGAGGAGATGCTCTGAATATAATATTGGGTTGCTTTTTTGTGCATGTAAATAAATGCAAGTTCTTGAATCTTGCTGTGTCAGTTTAACTGTGTGGCTCTCTTGTCGTTGCCCCTTATTGTGCAGGTGCTTGATCTCCCCATTTCTCAGCCTTATTCTTCACCGTTTTTAGGAGACACGTCTCTTCTTCCTCCCCCAGGAATACAGAGTGGGTTTAACTGTGCAACAGAATGAGCTTGCAGAGTTCCGAGGTCCCAGAATGAACTGTGGTATTTTAGACTGCAGTCGGGGAATGCCATTTTTGAATGCACTCCTATATCAGTTTATTTAAAAACAACACACCTTGTAAGTAGAAAGTTAGCACAGGAGCAGGGAGGCTCTAGCTCTCCCTGATGTGCTAGGTTTTTTGTTTAATGTGCAGGGTGTTCCTTGCAAATCAGGACAGCTGTCCAGAGTAATTTATGGCCTGCAGATGTATGTGGCTCAGTCATCTGTGGCCTGATGCTGTTTGTTCAATCGGGCAAAATGGCGCTATCCCATCACTGCTCAGACTCTGCCTCAATTATCAGGAGGTCGAATTTCCTCATCCTGAACTTTGAGGGGGTTAGATGGGAAAGTGCATTCACCCTCCCAGTAAAGGTAAAGGTACCCCTGCCCGTACGGGCCAGTCTTGCCAGACTCTGGGGTTGTGCGCCCATCTCACTTAAGAGGCCGAGGGCCAGCGCTGTCCGGAGACACTTCCGGGTCACGTGGCCAGCGTGACATCGCTGCTCTGGCGAGCCAGAGCCGCACACGGAAACACCGTTTACCTTCCCGCTAGTAAGCGGTCCCTATTTATCTACTTGCACCCGGGGGTGCTTTCGAACTGCTAGCTTGGCAGGCGCTGGGACCGAACAACGGGAGCGCACCCTGCCGCGGGGATTCGAACCGCCGACCTTTCGATCGGCAAGCCCTAGGCGCTGAGGCTTTTACCCACAGCGCCACCCTCCCAGAGCTCGTCACAATTACAGTGGTACCTCGGGTTAAGTACTTAATTTGTTCCAGAGGTCCGTACTTAACTTGAAACTGTTCTTAACCTAAAGCACCACTTTAGCTAATGGGGGCCTCCTGCTGCTGCCGCGCTGCCGGAGCACAATTTCTGTTCTCATCCTGAAGCAAAGTTCTTAACCTGAAGCACTATTTCGGGGTTAGCGGAGTCTGTAACCTGAAGCGTATGTAACCTGAAGCGTATGTAACCCGAGGTACCACTGTACAGAGAATTCAGACAGGGATGGCAAAGTCTTTTTGATCTGAGGACCACATTGACACTCGGCCACCCCTCCAAGGACCTCATGCCTCTTTCAGCTGGAACGTGTGCCAGTGGTGGGTGGGGAAAAGGAGGCAGGATATTGGAGGAGATTCCAGAAATTTCTACAAATGCACAAAGATCTCTTCATCCAGGCAAGTAATAAGCATGGATTATCAGAGTTCAAGGACACATTCCAGCCAGGGAGGCTACACAGCAAGACGAGGAAGGGGTGTGGCCTAGGGAGAATTCCAAGAATCTGATGTGGAGGTGGCGATTTATAAAAAATAAATGTTGCAATGACCACCTACCTGCATGGCTTATACAAAAGATTAGATCATTTCTCATGGAGAACATTATCAGTGGCTATCTTAAGCTCTGCCTCCACTGTCAAAGGCAGTATGGGCCTCTGAATACCAGCTGCTGGGGAATCACAAGAGTTTCTGTTTCACTCGGATCCTGCCAGTGGGATTCCCATTGTGTTATCTGGTCAGTGTGAGAACAGGAAGCTGGACTGGACAAGTCTCTTTTTATGTTCTTAAGGACAAGTCTTTGGGAAGAAAAACTGAACTATATATCAGAAAGCCCCAGAATCACACCCTCCAATATTTCACTGACATAAACAGGGAGTTGTTTGTAAGACCTCCAGCTAGTTTATCCCATTTTGACCACCTTATGGATGTTTTCTTAGTTCATTCATTCCCGGGGTGCTTGTAATTTAGATGACAAGCTCAGCAGACTTTCTCCTAACAGCATACAGTGGTACCTCAGGTTAAGTACTTAATTCGTTCCGGAGGTCCGTTCTTAACCTGAAGCACCACTTTAGCTAATGGGGCCTCCTGCTGCCACCGCAGCACGATTTCTGTTCTCATCCTGAAGCAAAGTTCTTAACCTGAAGCACTATTCCTGGGTTAGCGGAGTCTGTAACCTGAAGCGTATGTAACCTAAAGCATATGTAACCTGAGGTACCACTGTACATTACTTTGTTGGGGGGGGCAGCCAAAGTTGTTGAGCTTTTATTAAGAAACCAAAGTTTCTTGGGAAATCGCAGTAAAAACACATTAGCTTCTGCTGGGGTGGGGGGACAGAACCTCAGGTAATTGAGTACTTTCAATGCTTTTAAATATTTGTGGATCCAGAGGGCACGCCTGCCCCCCTGGGCTATGCCAGTGTGTTTTTCCCGGCCTCATCACACAGCACGCAGGAAGACGACAACAGACAGCAGTTGACTGTCAGGCCGCAATGGCCTTTTTTAATTTGTTCAGTAATAGAGCTCTCTATGAATGTGTATGTGTAGCCGCCTATACACAAATCAGAGGTATTTATAATATGTACACACACATAATTTAATACAAAAAAAAATTCTCCAGCTTCTCCTCTCCCCTCCCCCCCAGCTGCAACCAGGGCAAGGGAGGCTGCAGCCCCACCTCCCTTCCGTGGGTGGGTGGGGGGGAAAGGAAGCGAGCCAGAAATGGGGTAGATTTCTTTTTCCTGCAACAAATATACAGTAAAATATATTGCTATGTACATGGCTCTCAGCTACAGGCCATGCAGCCTCCCTCCTTGGTTTAAGTTAGAGCAGGAACAGGGAAGCTGCAGGCCACCGCAAGCGTCGTTGTTGGACTCCAACTCCCATCAGCCCCTGCAGCCAGCATGGCCCATGGGAGTTCTAGTCCCAACAGCTGGTGGGCAACGTAGCTTCCCCACCCCCCTGGTTTGGCGGGTTCAAAAGGGAATTAAGGAGAGGCGGGGAAGAGGTTTTATTTATTGCTTTGGGTGTAAGATGGGGTTGGCTTAATGGGGACGCAGGGAGGACCTAGCTGCTTAGCTTCGTAGTGTGAGGGGAGTTGTGGGGTTGATATGAAATCACACCTGAAAAAAAAAGCACAAATTGCCTTTTTAACTATTGCTACAAGGGAATTAAGTGAAAGAACTTTGGATGGAGCGTGAAAGGCCCTGCCTTCTCCCTTCTGCAGAGGAGGAGCGGGGGGGGGGCTGGATTCCCACCACTGCAGCAGCCGCACACTCAAACACACCCCTTTCCCCAATTTTTTTAAGGCAGACTCCATGCAAAGCAGATACGACGTAAGACACAACCTCCTCTTCCCCCTGCATCATGGCGACCCTCCCCCAAGTTTTTAAATTATTATTATTATTAATATTATTATTATTGCTTATAAGTGATAATGCAACATTCCCAGAGGGAGGGTGGGCCTTTGTGAGGGAAAGAGAAACGGGGGGGGGGCGGACTATCGTCCCCTGAGAGACGCCCTAATGAAGAGACTCGGTACTAAGGAGGCAGAAAGGAGGTCAAAAAGAAAAGAAAAGTGTTGTGGGTCTTCCTTCCCCTCCCCAAATCTGTCTCCCTCCTTATTTCTGGAGAGCTGTGGATCTATGGTTCTGACACTCTCACCCTCATTAAGGTGCATTTGGCTGGGCCCAGCCCAGGGGCAAAACCTAGATGGCGTTTGAGTGGTGTAGGAAAGAGGCCGTGAACCTGCTGTCTCTGCTCTCCATCCCGTGCTATCCTGTAGCTGCATCCTGGGGCAAGAACTAACCATTCAAAAACCCCCAACACACACACACACACACACGCACACACACGCACAACCCTCCCCAACAACTACCCTTCCTCTCCCTCCTCCATGCCTCACAAATGCAATATGGCTTCCAGGCTAGAGCTACAGTGGCTAACACCCACCCCCTGCCCTTCCCCAAGTTAATAAATTAAAAATTAAAGTATGGCTTCCAGTGTGAATGTCAAAACTTTCTCTGTCTCCCTTTCTCCCTGCCCCACGTTGCGGCAGCCCAGCCTCTGACGTCCAGAAGGGCTGGTGTTTTGTGTTTTGTTTTGTTTTTTAAAAAACTTCTCTGCCTCCCCCATGGGGTCTGTTCTCTTCAGAAAAGAAAAAAAGTCAGCCTCAGTGCAAAGCAATGGGCAGCTATCACATTTGCATACATTGAAATGCGTTTTTTTAACATGAGGCAGACGAGCGGCGGTTCTGGGAGGGGGGGATTGTGTGGGAGGGGAAAACCCAAGCCCCGTTCCATTTCTGCACGCGCGCCCCCCCCAACAATCCCCGATAACCAGTCAGTCTGTACTTTGCTCCCCTCCCCAAATCCTGTCCCCTGCCCTCCCCTCCCGGCCTCCTCCTTCAGTCCATCATTGCTTCCAGCATCTCCAGGAAAAGCTTATGCATGGGGACCTTGCCCTCCAGTTTGAGGCTGTAGAAGTGGTGGAGGACGCGGGTGGCTGTCTGGCGGAGGAGGGGCAGCGTGAGGAGGAGGCGGCCGGCCCGGCGGGGCTCCTCGGGGCGCCTCGACGCTTCGTATTCCAGCAGGGCCTCGTGCAGCACGTCCCGGAGCCGCTGCACGGCTGCCATGTCCTCAATGTGCACAGAGTCTGGAGGAAACAGGAAGGGTGGGAAATAGATGCACACAGCAGCCATTAGGACCCCCTAGCTTGGTGGAAGAGACTCCGGGAGCTTCAGTAGCCGGGAGTGCCTTTTGCCACTCTTGTTTTTTGTTTTTTCAAAAATCTTATTGATTTTCCAAAAATTTTAAACAAACAAACATAAATCTCAACCATATTTAAACCTAACTTAGTAACATTGTTTAAGGGACGCGGGTGGCGCTGTGGGTAAAAGCCTCAGCGCCTAGGGCTTGCCGATCGAAAGGTTGGCGGTTCAAATCCCCGCTGCGGGGTGCGCTCCCGCTGCTCGGTCCCAGCGCCTGCCAACCTAGCAGTTCGAAAGCACCCCCAGGTGCAAGTAGATAAATAGGGACCGCTTTCTAGCGGGAAGGTAAACGGCGTTTCCGTGTGCTGCGCTGGCTCGCCAGATGCAGCTTCATCACGCTGGCCACGTGACCCGGAAGTGTCTCTGGACAGCGCTGGCCCCCGGCCTCTTGAGTGAGATGGGCGCACAACCCTAGAGTCTGTCAAGACTGGCCCGTACGGGCAGGGGTACCTTTACCTTACCTTTATAGTAACATTGTTAAGTGACTTCCTCGTATCCCCCTGGTTGAATTTCAGTGTATATCATTATTAACGCTTTTCCAAAACCAATATTCTTATAAAATTAACTTGATCACTTAACATCTTTCTTTCTCTCCAATTCGGCATTAATTCATCACATTGCATATTTAAATCCTAAGCCTATCTGGTATTTGCAAGCTTTTCCAATTAATTAAACTTAACATATTTAACTAAATAATCTTAAGATTTCGTCCATTCTTCCTGGTAATCTTTCTCCTTTTGCCTCTCTTGGACAGGGGCAGCCTGGCCATGTTGAATCATGCACTGAGATTGCTGAGGGGCACTTTTTAAACCTGTATAGGGATGTTTATAATGTTTGATGTTTTATTATGTTTCTGTATATGCTGGAAGTCAACCAGAATGACTCAGGAAACCCAGTCAGATGGGTGGGGCTCTAATAATAATAATAATAATAATAATAATAATAATAATAATATACAATGCCCACCTGGCTGGGTTCCCCCAGCCATTCTGTGTGAATCGCAACAGAATATTAAAAACTATAAAACATCTAACATTAAAAACTTCCATAAACAGGGCTGACTTCAGATGTCTTCTGAAAGTTGTGTAGTTGTTTATTTCCTTGACATCTGATGGGGGGGGCGTTCCACGGGGCCACTACCAAGAAGGCCCTCTGCCTGGTTCCCTGTAACCTCACTTCTCGCAGTGAGGGATCTGCCACAAGGCCCTCGGAGCTGGACATCAGTGTGGGGGTGGAGACGCTCCTTCAGGTATACAGGACCGAGGATGTTTAGGGCTTTAGACTTTGTGCTAGTCACATACCCACCTCACAGGGTTGTTGTGAGGAGAATATGGAGAATCTGGGCAGAGCAATGTAAGCCACCCTGGAGGAAAGGTAGGATATAAAGGAAACAATAAACATTGTGGGGAAAGCCCCCACCTCACCCGCCTGGCATCTCTCTGCCTGTGAAAGGGACTCACCTGAGTTGGCAAGCGCCAAGGCCTTGAGAAGCACATATTCCTCTCGCTCCAGGCGCAGGGCCCGGTACTTGCGCACAAGCTGCAGGACCACCCCACTGAGCTCCAGTAGCCCTGCCGCCCTTGCCGCCTCCTCGTCCAGAGCAAAGTCCTCCGCGAAGACGATCTCGTCCTCGCAGGGCAACGAACGCCAGGCCACCCCCAGCAGCAAGACCTCCAGCCACACGCTCTGCAGTACAGACATCTGGTCCGCCAAGGACAGCGCCGGAAATCCTGAGCCAGGAAGGACAGAACAGGAAAGAAAAGAAAAGAAAAGGATGAAGCTAACTAGCTGTTTGCAGGGTGGCCTGTGGCGAGCAGAAATTGATTCCAAGCAACCAAGTGTGGGTGCTTAGAAATGATTCATTGCTTTTTTTGGATGAGGTTTCTGTCAGGTGGATTTGTAGCTGGTTGACTGACTGAACCCAAAGAACTCATTAATGGTTCCTCATCATCCTGGGGAAAAGTGACAAGCGGGGTGTTGCAGGGTTCTGTCCTGGACCCATTGTTGTTCAACATCTTTATAAATGACTTAGATGAAGGAATTGAGGGGAAGCTCATCAAATTTGCAAATGACACCAAATTGGGAAGGGTAGGTGACAGAATCATGATTCAAGATGACCTTAGACTAGAGAACTGGGCCAAAACTAACAAAATGAATCTCAAAAGAGACAAATATCAGGTTCTACACTCAGGCAAGAAGAACCAGCAGCACAAATATAAGACGGGGGACACCTGGCTTGCTAGTAGTACATGTGAAAAGGATCTAAGGGTCTTAGTAGACCATAAGCTTAACACAAGTCAACAGTGTGATTTAGCAGCAAAAAAGCTAATGCTATTCCAGTCTGCATCAACAGAAATGCAGCTTTCATATCAAGAGAAGCAATAGATCCCTCCCAACTCTACAATTCTATGAATCTATGAATAGAGTGGTACTATTTTGCCTTGGTCAGACCACACCTAGAGCACTGTGTCCAGTTTGGGGCACAATTTAAGAAGGATGCTAACAAGCTGGAATGTGTGCAAAGGAGGGCAACCAAGATGATCCAGGGTCTGGAAGCAAAGTCTTATTAGGAACGGTTGAAAGTTGGGTATGGTTAGCCTGGATAATAGGAGACTGAGGGGAGATATGGTAGCCATCTTCAAGTATTTAAAGGGTTGTCACATGGAAGGTCGAGCAAACTTGTCTTCTCCTGCTCCAGAGGGGAGGATCCCAAAAATGGCTTTGAGCTACAATAAAGGAGTTTCCAACCGGACACCGGGAAGAACTTTTGGATGGCAAGAGCTGTTCGACGGTGGAACAGACTTTTTCAGAAAGTGATGGCCTCTCCTTCATGGGAGGTTTCTAGACAGAGGTTGGATGGCCCTCTGTCATGGATGCTTTAACAGGTAGCTAGGAGTTGCCGGGAGAGAGTGAATGGCAGAAAGAGAGAAAGCAATGGGGTGCCCCACGCACCGCCACCTGCTCTGGATCCCAACGGAGTATTCCTGAGCCTTGTGCCAAGCTCAGCAATGGACCAGAAGTCGTTGTGGGTCTTTGGACAGTGGCAAGGTAATATCTGCGCAGCAGCCGGACAGGCATGACCTCGAGCCAACCCTTCTCTCTCACCTGGTATGTTTTTGGCCCAGCCGATGATGACCACGATCTCCCGGTCAGCCAGATCGCACAAAGTGCTCGCTGCTTTGGCGGGACTGTCAGGAAGTGCGGGGTCAGGCATGGCGTACAGCTTCTCAGGCTCTGCCACCAGCAAGTGCGACACCATTGTGTTCATTGGAGCTGCAGGGAGTGGGGGTGGAAGAAAGGATGGTGAGGATCAAAGATGAAAGAAAGAGAAGTGTCAGGAGTAAGTTGTACACTCCAGATTCACAAATCTCCCTTTCTTCGCTTGGGGGAAGTATTCCCAAATTCAGCTAATGTTGGTTGGCAATTAGGCCAGGAACATGGAGCCTGTGAGCCCCCCCCCCCCGAAGCTGCTAGACTACAACTCCCATGATCCTTGATCATCGATGATGCTGGCTGGGACTGATGGGAGTTGGAGTCCAACAGAGTCCAGAGGGCCACACGTTCCTCAGCCTTGATCTAGTCAGGGAAGTGGGCCAAGGGAGGCCAGGGCCCACGTTTCTCTCTCATCTTTTCTCATTTTGCCATCAATCATAGCTGTACCTGTCAGCCTAAGAGCCACTTCAAACACAAGAAAAATCAAGATGACACAATCCTCCTGGAACTATGGCACTCCAGAACGCACCACACATGTGTGTGTACGTGTTTGTGGGTAAAACACATGTCTGAACGCTCCCCAAAGATAGAACAGCAACTTCTTCCCTGCTTGTGGGAAGTTAGCCTATTAGGGATCCTGGAATAACTGGTGGTTTTTGCTTTTAGTATTTTTTGTTACAACAATCAACGATAACAAACTTCAACAAAGTATGCAGTAGTGATGTTCTGGTCAAATTACCCACTCTCCCTTTTGAATTTGCATATGAGTTACAACACATTAAAGCACTGACAACTCTGTGGACAGCATAAGCGGGATTTATATTTGTAAACTCCTTAGAAGCCTGTTTAGCAGTAAGTGGCATATAAACAAATAGATAAGCTTTCTCTCGGATGCACCTGTTTTTTAATGTACATTACAAAGGGGAACATTCAATTGAGCAATGTCCTCCCCTCTCAGTAGTACAGGCCCAGAGGGCAATACTGCATGTTCTACAAAACGAAAGTGTAGCTGTTAAATCCTGGCCTACGCTCCCTTCTTCTTCCTCCCAGGGTTGTGCCTGCCAGGTTGCCAAGGTAACAAGCGTTGCTCACATTAGAAGCCCTTTCCAAGGGGATAATTCCACAGTGAGAATGGTACCATTGGTGGCTACTTAAGGTTAGGAGGAGAGACTAAGGAAGCCCAGCTTCAACAAGGGGGAAAAGGCAGAGCATTTTCTGGTTCAATAAAACACTCCGGAGTCCAAGCCTATATGAGACACTTGTGGGGATAGAACCTCAGGCCCAGGAGTGAAATGCGGCCCTCCAAGCCTTTCTATTTGGCCCTCAGAACTCTCTTTGGGCCACACCTCTTCACTGGCTCTGCTTCAAACCCTCCTTAAGTGTTTTGGCCTAGCTGAACAGCATCCTTAAACTCTAGCAATGCCTCTTGCTTGGAAGAATGGTACAGATAGGTGCTTGTGGAAAACTAACCCGTGGTACAAAGGCAAAATAAATATTCTTTCTGTCGCCCTCTTTTGCTTCTGGACCTGCTCACCGCTGGCATGTGGCCTCCGGAACATCGCCCAGAGGAGAATGTGGCCCCTGGCTTGAAAAAAATGTTCTCTGGATCTAGGATGGAGACATAGCCAAGTACACTTCTGTATGGGTCACACGCCCTGGGCCCCTTTATCCCCAAACTCTGGATAAGAGTGCGGTTCAGGGGGGCACCGCAGTCCTTTACCTGGTTTCTTGGTGGTCGCCGTAGCAATCTGTGGGGTGACGAATGCACTGGGGTAAGTGGCACCCTCCACCTCAGGCCGGCGCTTGTACTTCTGACGCCCTCCTCGCACCCGGTCGAGACGTACCCCTGGAGAAGACCAAAGCTGATTCAGAACATTTTCAACCTGTTAGGAGCTCCGTCTTCCTCCTGCAATTCCTCTCCCCCGCCACAAGCTATTTCACATTCGCTGTGCACCCTCCCACCCCGTCAACCTTGGCGCCACACCCGAGGTTTAGGCCCCAAGGCCCAAAGCCGTACCTTCCTTGAGCATGCCCACGCGCAGGCACTTGGTGAAACGGCAGGCCTGGCAGGCTTTCCGGCGCCGCTTTGTGATCTCACATTCGTTGGTGGCCGGACAGCTATATTCAATGCTGCCTGAGAGAGAAAGAGAAAGGGCCAGAAAGCTTTAAAAAGCTATAGTATAAATAATATATATGCATTTACTCAAAAAATATTATTTGTTTATTGCATTTATATCCCACTTCCCTCCCCCCCAAGGAGCTCAGTGTGGTATATATGGTTCTCCCACTTCTCATTTAATTCCCACAACAACCTTGTGAGGTAGGATAGGCGGAGAGGAAGTGACTGAGCCCAAGATCGCCCAGCGAGTTTCCTGGCCGAATGGGGATTTGAACCCTGGTCACCCAAGTCCTAGTCTAACATTCTAACCACTGTACTTCTTGACCCTGACTTTTGACACTTGAGGTGTATATTTTTAGGACCCACCTAATTTCTGTGTGATACTGAAATATTGCGTGTGTGTACATACACACACGCAGTATTTCAATATTAATAATGTTTTGATTGTTGTAACCTGCCCTAGGACCTTAGGGTGAAGGTCAGGTTATAAATTGTAGTAGAAGTAATCAGCACTGGCTCTTGCATTTTGTTGAAAGAAAGCATTTTTATATCAAAATGATGTTTGAATTTTAAGTGGAAGCTTCAGTCATGAGTTCTGAGTTTTGGGGTATTTGGGGGTCTCTTGCCCATTAATAGGGCATTTTAAATTCAGATGTTTTGTAAGGACATCTCCTTTTGCCCACACTTTCCTGTCCCTGGTTTTTGTTTTGTTTTGTTTGATTTCATTGGATTTCTGTTTTTAATTTGCTTTTAGAAGCATTTTACACTACTGTTCTACCGTTGCTGGGTTGTTGTTGTTGCTTTATTTTTGTTTTAATAATATTGCTTAATGCTTTAAAGTCATACACCACTTAGAGGTTTTTTAAAAAAATATATATTAAGCAATGCTCCTAAATAAATAAAATAAAAACCTCTGTTCAAAGAAGACAAAAGTTTGCAGCCCACGTTAGTCATACACAGAGTAAATCCACTGAGGTGAATGAACGTGACTAACTTAGGGTCATTGCCAGTCAGTGTCAGTGGATAATACTGAGCTAGATAAAGTAATAACCTGACTTGAGATAAAAGTAGCTTCCTATGTTCCAAATGCCACATTAGCCAACTGGAACCTCCAGGTGCAGTAATAGTATACCTCAAATTACTGGTTATGAGGCGGGAGAGGCTACTGCCTTCACAGCCTGTTTGTGGGCCCTTCTTGTGCTTTTATCCATCAGCCCCTATCCAGTGCTACAAAACAGATCAAGGAAGCTGTATCAGTGCAAAGGTTCAGGAATGACACAAGTTCAGGAAGTATTTCTTCATGGAATACATACTTAACTTATGGAATTCCCCCAGCACAAGATGAGGCAACGGCACTGAGCTGAAATGGCTCTTTTCTTAAATTCCGTAAGTTCATGGAGGAAGAGAAGTCTATTGGGGAAAGTGTGCGGCTCAGTCGTAGAGCACGAGACGCTTCATGCTCAACGTTTTGCCCAGTGTCGGGTTCAAGCCCAATGTTGGGCAAAACATTCCTGCATTGCAGGGGATTCTCATGGTGTCTTCCAACTCTATGATTCTAGGACATCCAGAGAGAGAGAGAGAGTCTGTCTAAGGCCACATTCATACCATACATTTAAAGCAGCATGGTACCATGCTAAACAACCACGTCTTCCCCTAGAGAATTCTGGGAGCTGTAGTTTCTTAAGAGAGCAGATAATTGTTAGGAGGAGGCCCCTATTCCTCTCATAGATAAACGTTTCTGATGATTGTTAAGCAATCAATCCCTCTTCCCAGGGAACTCTGGGAATTGTAGCTTTGCGAGGGGAATAGGGGTCTCCTAACAACTCTCAGCATCCTCAACAAACTAAGGCTCCCAGAATTCTCTGGGGGAAACCATGTCTGTTTAAAGAGGTATCACAGTGCTTTTAGTGTACAGTGCAAACGTGTCCAAACATGGTGGGGAATCCCTGAAGAACAGCCAGGACCAAAATAAGAAGTTCATAACATGAAAGGAGCCCTTCTTGATCAGGCCAAAGGCCTATCCAATCCCAGCATTCTCTTCTCACGGTGGCCAACCAGATGCCTATGGCAAGACCACAGGCAGGACATGGAAGCAACAGCAATCTCCCCACTGGTATTCAAAAGGTAGGCTGCCTCTGATTCCAGAGGTAGTCTAGACTGAGCAGTGTTTCCCAAACTGGGGTCTCCAGCACTACAACTCCCATGATCCCTAGCTAGCAGAGCCAGTGGTCAGGGAATTGTAGTCCAAAACCAGCTGCAGGCCCAAATTTGGGAAACACTGGTCTTTCCCCAAGACTTTTGTCTCTCCACATTGTGCCACAATTTATGCACCTCTACTAAGTCCCCGCTTATTCTAAACTCACAAAGCCTCAAATACTGGAGCCTTTCCTCACAAGACCACCCAGGGATGGCTGTGGGCAGAATTCCTGCACTGCAGGGGGTTGGTCCCTTCCAACTTTACCATTCTATGATTCTAAGGGAGTTACTTCACCCCCTCGTTCAGTTCTTTTTCTTAACCTTTTCCAGCTCTACAAGATCCCTTTTTGAGGCACGGAAGCCAGGACCGTACATAGTATTTCAAGTGCGTACTGCACCATAATTTGCATAAAGACATAATCTTGGCAGTGTTTTCCCCCAGCCCCCTTTTCAAACCATTTCCTAAGGATTCCCAACATGGAATTCACATTTTTCACAGCTGCTGCACACTTGATCGCAGCAATTTAATTATAGCACTTCTTACAGACCAACTTGGTAAAATGCATCCTATAGGTTGGTGCTGTTTGCCACAGCAGCTAGGAATTTACATGCAAAAGGTGGGGTTTTTTTTAGGAGGGGGGTTATGGGAGACCTTTTAATGGTTTTAACGAAGTGATGTGCTGATGCCGGATGCTGTAAATGTCAATTAAACTCTGTTAATGGAGAAAACTATGTGTGAGCAAGAAGCGAGGGTGTTTGCTTTTGCAAAGCCCTTTCATAATGCGCAATAAAGTTCATTCATACTCAGACTTCCTACAGTTTTATTAATCTCCACAAGTAAAAGGGACTTCTTTCTCCACCCCCTCCCCAAGTAAGCTGAACATTTAGGAAAGAGACCTAGAATATCCCTGAACAGCACAGCCCAACCCCTCACCAGGGCACCAGCCCTGTTAACATCTATTCACCGTGATAGCTAAATAGAACCTCACTTTTAAGAGACAGTCTACCAGAGGGGCAACAAGCGTCTCAGAAAGGCCTATCTGTCATCGGAACAACAGGATGTGAGACTAGATCAGGGGTGGGGAACCTGCAGCCTTCCGGACTACAACTCCCATCATCCTTGACCACTGATGACGCTCACTGGGACTGATGGGAGTTGTAGTCCATCACCACCTGGAGGTCCAAAGGTTCCCCAGATGACCTGATCCAGCAGGGGCTTTTTCTTCTTAGGAACATCAGAAACCGCTTTATAGCCAGTCAGTCCATTGGTCCATCTAGCTCAGTACTGTCTACCCAGACTGGCAGCTGCTCTCCCGGGTTTCTGGTAGGGTGTATTCCCAGCCTGACCCAGAGATGCCGGGAATTGAAACCTTCTGCATGCAAAGCAGATGCTCTCTCACTGCCCTTCCTCAAACAAAGACCCCTTTTCTTCCCCAACAGCTTTAGGGGAACCCCAGACTTCTCTTGCAGTGCCCGGGCAGGAGCGGCCTACCTTGGATAGTCCTCTTGAAGAAGGCCTTGCAGGCTTCGCAGGAGGCCACGCCATAGTGGTACCCTGAGGCAACGTCCCCGCACACCAAGCACAGCCGCTTGGGCATGGCGCTCAGCATGTACTTCCCCCGCCCCGGGGGCTCGTCCGGGTCGTCATCATGGCGTCGCCGGGAGGCCCCCGTCCCGGCAGGCAGCGCCCCAGCGGTCTCGAGCTCTTGTGGGGCCCCGCTGGCGCTGGTGTCGGAAGACCCGCTGGGGCTGTGCTGGGCAAGGCTGTCTGGGGAGGCCGGCTCCGTTTTGATGAAAAACTCTGCCCGGCGTTCCCGGGATGACATGGCTGGAGAGGGCTGCAGGAAAGAGGACACAGATGGGGAGCGTCAGAGAAGAGCGGCCACGACATACAAAAAAACCTGAAACAGCAGGAATGTTGGAAAATATTTCCCCTTCCTAGGCCACATTCACAACACTATTGACGCCACTTTAAAGAGTCATGGCTTCCCGCCACAGAATTATGGGAGGTGCAGTTTGTTAAGGGTGCTGAGAGTTGTCCGGAAACCCCTATCCCCCCCCCAAAAGCTACAACGGCTGGAGCTCCCTGGGAAGAAAGATTGACTGATAAATCACTCTGTGCACCTTTAATTCCTAGGGTGCTTTGGAGGAAAGTCACGACTTTACTGAGTGCTTTAAATGTGTAGTGTACATGTAGATCGAGTATCTTAAAAACTGACGGAGTTGCACAGGTTAAGTCCATTTTCTAAAAAAATGGATGGGAGCCCTTCGGTGTGATAAAACTTAAAGGTGGTGTTCAAAGGCAGATCTTTAAAATAATGACGATTAATCCGTTTCTCACTCAGAAGGGACCACAATCACAAACAGAATTCGGCGGCCGGGCTGTGACAAAGAGCAGAGAGCAACAGTCCGCCATCCCAAATCCTGCCCTGTCACTTGGATGTGCGTCACAAACCCACCACCCAATCAGGGACCAGCGTGGAATTTGGGGGGCTAGGCCAAGTTAGCCAACTAGCGGGAAGAATCTGACGACAAATCAATCGGAAGAACCGAGTCAGGGCGTGGGGTGGGGGACAACAACCCCAGTACAGTGGTACCTCGGGTTACATACACTTCAGGTTACAGACTCCGCTAACCCAGTAATAGTGCTTCAGGTTAAGAACTTTGCTTCAGGATGAGAACAGAAATCGTGCTCTGGCGGCGCAGCGGCAGCGGGAGGCCCCATTAGCTAAAGTGGTCCTTCAGGTTAAGAACAGTTTCAGGTTAAGTACGGACCTCCGGAACGGATTAAGTACTTAACCCGAGGTACCACTATAATTTCATCAACCTGAGTTTAGGGCGCCTCCAGTTCCACTGCTCAATCTGGGGAGCTGCCCCCCACTGAAGGAAGTGATAGCATATATCCCAATTCTACATTCAACTCCGCTAATGGAGACATAGCAAGGAAGAGCTCTTGGGATGGCCAACCGTGGCTTAATTCAGACAGGCCAAGAGACTCTCTTCAAAATTTACTGCCTTTTTGGCAGCGTCCTATGTGTGGGAATGCGGGGGGAGAGTGTTCCTCACTCCACGAAGGCCCTGCTATGTAGGCCTCCCCCCCTTAATCTCATCAACCTACACACTGTCCACCCCACAGCTGCTGGCCTGGGATCCAGCATCCCGCCAGAAGAATGGAGTGGCCTCAAGGTCACTCCAGGGAGATACAATCAGACACCCAGGCAGGGCTGGCGATGGGATCAAAGGCAGTGCACTCTCGCTGCCTCTGGTCCGGTCCTGTCCTGTCCCTGACCGCCTCTTTGGAGAACAGCAACATTCTGGGGCTTTGAGAGTTAAATGTAAACACGCAGAGGACAGGAATAGCCGCTTGGCTCAGCAACCTGACATCTCTTCTCTCCCCCCTCCCTGCCCCTGCAACTTCAATGCAACAAAGATTAACCCTCCCACACACGAATTGTGCCCCCTCCCATCTCCTGCACTCCTTAGGTTAAGGCTCTCTGCCCCCCCCCTCTTCTGGACACTGGATTGTTGAGGTTTCCTTCCATAACCAGCCAAGATTTCATACTGATGTCCTGGCTACAAACTGGGAGGTGGTGGTGTTGTGTCTCGCTGCCCTCCCCCTTCTGAGTTTGGAGAAGGGGCAAAAGTGACCGCAGAGAGCCGTTTTTAAATACCCCTCCTCAAAGCAACTAGGCCTGCAGTGCGGGGTTGCGGGGAGGAAATGCAAATATGACTTTTAAATTGTACTGCTTTCACATTTCGATGTTTGCCGCCCTGGGCTCCTTTGGGACGAAGGGCGGGATACACATTCCATAAACAAACACATAAAATTGATGAAAATATTACTAATAATAAGCACCTGCGGTTCATTACTTAGCATTATTTGTGTGTTCTGAGCGGTGCCCTGAGCGAAAGAGAAAGACCAGTAACCACCCTAGGACAGCGTCTTTAACTCCAGGCACGCAAGACACCTCTTAGCGCACGCTCTGCCCCCACACCCCTAAGTGACACCCCCTCTGTGTCTCTATTAATAGGTTTACCCTCCCCACTTTTGCCAGGCCAGTCAAAGGACCTTTGTCCTCTGTGGATCAGTGCATCATCCCTTACCCAATCGGGGACAAGAGTGGAGTTTATGCAAGAGGAGGAGGGGAGCAATATGGGCCAGAGAGAGGGGGCTAGGAGACATTGCCCAACTTTCTCCCAACCCCCCCCCCCCAGTAAGCAGAAGCCATTCAGAAAAGTCCATGTACACATCGGCCACAGACTTTCGATCGTTCTCAGGACTCCATAAAGCAGGAGACTTTGTGAAATCAGGGCAGCTGTCTGAAGCTCCCGGACACCTCTGCACACCACCTCCCTGCAGCTGAACAATCTGTGGTCATGTTTTCTTGGGCTCCATGTGGAAAGCCTGTGTGCCCATGACCTTTGACCCTTCTGCAGTTCACTTCTGTCACTCTCCCCCACACACCCCACTTACTACGGGCCGCAGTGCCCCCTAGTGGCCGAGCGGTGAGGTCAGCTGGGCAAAAGAGACAGGGCACTCTCATGTCTGAGCCCTCTCCCGTTCACACGTGCCCAGGCGCGCATGAGTTTGCTATGCACATGGCTGCGAAAAGGTTTCCCCGTCCAGGCAGCTGCAGGGGGTATATGCAGACCGTGTCTGTACACACAAGGGAGGCTTCTCCACTCATCTGGGCGCAGCACTTCAACATCTCCATGTGCAGCTGTGAGCACATCAGTGCGCCCTCCTTGTACATGCGCAAGCATTTCTCTTTCTCTTTCCGTGCCCTTGCACCTAGGCAAGCAGGCCTACACAGGTGCCTACGTGGGACCCACCGACACCTGCACAACACACCATATCCGCACTATGTGACCTTAAATCATGTCCCCCACCCCCCGCCGGCTGCGGCATGCCCCACACTGCTTGTCCCCGGGTCTGCGCACTCTGCTGCAGGAGCACGACTCTGCCTGGCAGCCTCAACAGAGACATCCACACGAGCACTTTCATGCCCCTGATCTGTGCCCACACATTTCTCCATTCCTCCCCCACACATGATTTTTGCCCTCTGCCACACTAACAGAGGCACCGCAATAGACGTGTGTACACCCGTAGTACACCGATATCTATTTGCATGTGAGTGAGTTCTGGCGCACTTGGGGGCGCCGGAGCGTCTACTGACGCGCGTCTGCCCCCGAGTGGGGGGCACCGTGGTGTGTGTGTCCCCCCCCACTTCCAGAACCCTGCCTGCCCCCGCCCCCCTGTTTTCTGGATCGGGCGCTCTCTTTCCCTGCAAGGCAACCAACCTCCCACAACGAAAGCGCCGGTCACATGGAGCCGGTTTGGAAAAGGGGGCTGGGATTGGGGGGGGGGCGCGATCGTCAGAATACTCCCCGCTTCTTCTTCTTCCTCCTCCTCCTCCTCCTTCTCACGATCGCACTGACCTTGGTCGCAGCCAAGGGCTGGGAGCTGCAGGAAGCGCTGGCGGCGGCGGGGTCCTAGCTGTGTCCGAGCGGGGCGGCTCAGTGGCCCCGCGCGCCGGGGACCGGCCGGGCCATGGGCTGGGGCTGCGCGCTCGCTCCTCGCTCCGGCTGTAGGACACAAAAGGACATCGCAACCCACTTCCTACTCGGCTTCCTCCAGCTGGTGGGGGCGGGGCCTGGAGATGAATATGCAGAGCAGAGGGGCGGGGACAACGCGGTCCCCCCCCCCTCTCCAAGGCGCTCGCTGCGCTCTTCTCAACAACGCGCGCCGGCCGCGGCTGCTGGCAACGTGGCGCCCGGAGAGGAGCAGCAGCAGCAGGAGGACTCGGGGCGGGCGAGGGAAAGGTCGTCTCTTGCCCAACGCCCCCCGCGTGGTTGGGGGACAACCAGCCCGATCGCGGGTGGGGGAGACTTGGGTGTGCGCGCGTCCCGCTCTCTCCCCGCAGCCCCGCTTCTCAAGGTCACCCGGGAAATGGAACCTAGCAGTTAAGGAGAGGGAGCTCCGTGGAGCCTCCACTGCCAGGGGCAGTCTACCTACGGGTGGGACAAGCAAGGAGGAGGGGACAAAAGAGAAGGAGAGCTTTCCGCAGGCAGGTGGACGGCCCACCGGCCAAGCTTGAGCCAGGCCAGGCCCGCCGCATTCGGTTCTTCTGGCCGTGGCAGCCAGAGTGCGGTTGACCTCCGCACGGTTTGCAGAAGCGAGTGAAGCATGCGAGATCCTGGCAGCGAAAACAGAAACAGAGTTTTGTGGTACCTTAAGGCTTAACAAATGTGCCACCCGCAACCTTCCCCAACCTATCGAGCTACAAATGGCACCACCTTAGCCAGCACTACTTCATTTAATTTTATTATTATTATTATTATTATTATTATTATTTAGTTATAAATTATATTTTTTACAATTATTTGTTACAAGTGGGTTCTGCAACAAAATGTTGCAGCGTGGAGTGCGTCTGGTCTTGGCACCTGCAAGCTTGCCAGCTATGCCCTTTCCCAGAAAACTCCATTTCATTCCCCCATCTGCTTCCACATCGCAACTAGCATTTTGTGCTCACTGAGCATTGCTCAGTCCTTGAGCTGAGTGTGAGTTCCCCTTAGGATTCCTCCCCCTTTAAAGTTTTTTTTGACCAGTAAGCCCACAACATACATACATTTTTCTTACGCAAACACAACCTTACATGGGCGTCAAGCAAACAAACAGATAGGAAAGACAAGGGGGAAAGCAAAATAGGCAGTAGAAAAAACGTCAGGAGGAGGCAGGAGAGCAGGAAAGAACAGTTAGCAATCCCATCAGCCATTGCACTGACCCTGGGAGAGTGTTTGGGCATCAGAGAGTTGGAGACTGAGAGAGGGCCTAGCAAGAGCATGGAGAGCAAGCAGAGGTGGTCTGAGAGCAAGCAGAAGGTGATCTTAGCCCTCCTGGCTTTACGTGTTTTTGCACTTGTGGGCTTACTGTATTTGCAAATCTTGAGGCTCCCCATAGCCTCTTCATGCCTTCCTCTTTTGCATGGACAGTTCTATTTTAGCTGCATAAGACTTGACCCTTAAGAATGAGAGCTGGACCATAAAGAAGGCTGATCACCAAAGAATTGATGCTTTTGAATTATGGTGCTGGCGGAGACTCTTGAGAGTCCCATGGACTGCAAGAAGATCAAACTTCTCCATTCTGAAGGAAATCAGCCCTGAGTCCTCACTGGAAGGACAGATCCTGAAGCTGAGACTCTCAATACTTTGGCCACCTCATGAGAAGAGAAGACTCCCTGGAGAAGACCCTGATGTTGGGAAAGATGGAGGGCACAAGGAGAAGGGGACGACAGAGGACGAGATGGTTAGACAGTGTTCTTGAAGCTACCAACATGAGTTTGACCAAACTGCGGGAGGCAGTGGAAGACAGGAGTGCCTGGCGTGCTCTGGTCCAGGGGGTCACGAAGAGTCGGACACGACTAAACAACAAAAGATAGGGTTATTATTAATGTTAACAAAACAAGCTTGAAAGCTTGCCACTACCCAGGGCCGTCTTTAGCAGATGCGGTACTGGGGTGCAAATATCCGCCCTGTGCCCCCAAATTACCATGGATAGGGGGGGGGAGCTCAATATGTCACCCTGCAGAGGAGGATCATAGAATTTGGAACCATATCATAGTGAGTGTGAGAAAGGGGGGGAGGGAGAGAGGAAGAATTATTGGCCCAAGGCCACTGAGTCCGTTTATAACTGAGTGGGGATTCGAACCCTGGTCCCCCAGGTCCTAGCCCAACACTCTAACCACTACACCACACTGGTTCTAGGCTGCCTTTCAAGACATTGCCCTATCATAAGTTTTATAAGTCCATGCTCATATCAAATTCATTTTGAACAGCTGAAAAAAGAACGATTTAATTAAAACTAGCCATTTAAAACCAGCAGCGATACGTGCTGTTAGAAAAGGTCGGCTGAGCCCAGCGTTTAAATTACAAGCACCAGGGGAATAAATGGGTTTTAAACAGGCCTTGAAAACCATCAATAAGGCGATCAAATGTAAGACTGGGGGCCTTACAACATCTCCCTCTTTGCATCCATGAAATGTTGCAAGGTGCGATACTAGGGCTCTCCAGCTCTCTGATCCTCTAGGGTTGCTGGATCAGGCCAAGAGCCCATCTAGTCCAGCATATCCTGTTCTCACAGTGGCCAAATCCTATCTATTATTATTATTATTATTATTATTATTATTATTCCGACCTATACCCGCAGGTCTCAGGGGAGTTGACAAGATAAAATCACAATATAAAAACACAAAATACATAATATAAATGAAAACAAGAACAACCCCAAAATCCCCCCTCCCCAACATATTTTAAAAGGGTATTGGGTGTCAATGTTTAGCTGTGTGAAGACGTTCTTCCTTTTATCTGTCCAGAATCTCTCACCATTCAGGATTTTATTTTATTTTATATTTGACTTATATACTGCCCTTCATCAAAAGATCTTCAGGGCGTCTCACAAGATGAAAACACGAAATAAAAGCACAAATAATTAGTTAAAACAGAAACGACAAAACAATAACCACCCCCCTTCCTACAAACACATATAAAAGGCTATAGAATATTGATTAGCCAAAGGCCTGGTTGAAAAGGAACATTTTTCTGCCTGGTGCCTAAAGGTGTAAAATGAAGGCGCCAGGTGAACCTTCCTGGGGAGAGCATCCCACAAACAGGGAGCCACTGCAGAAAAGGCCCCGTTCTCATGTTGCCACCCTCCGGACCTCTTGTGGAGGAAGTACACAAAGAAGGCCCTTAAGTGTTGATCGCAGAGTCTGGGGATGGTTTATATGGGGAAAGGCGGTCCTTGAGGTATTGTGGTCTTGAGCCGTTTGAGGGGGGGCCCTGGATTCTAGTATTAAGAGAGATGGGGTGGGCGGGAGTCTCCCGGTCCGCTTCCTCCACGCTCCCTGCACACATTTTATCCGCCTCTCTCTTGTTCCTCCCTTTCTTGCCTCTTCTCTGAACTTGGAGGAAAAAAGCCCCAAATGTTGTAAGCTTTCCTCCAACTCCCTCGATCCTTTCAGTCGCCCTTTCCTTGCGCAATGGCTTTCCTGCCTGCTGTGGGGCAGCGTGGTTCCAGCTGGTTCCAGTTCTAATTGTCCCAAAGGGCGGGTGGGACCCACATGCGAAACCCGCCGCGCAACAAAATGTCCTGCCCTGGAGCTCAGCTGCCCGGCTCCTTCTCGGCCTCCTCCACCACCAGCCTTCACATGCATACCCTGCCCTGTCTTCTCCCACCAACCCGAAACACCCTGCACACGCCCTTTCCTCCTGGAGCGAACCCACTTTGCTTTGAGCGGAGGAACCAGCCTCAGCTACTCTGCCTGTTTTGACAAATCTTGAGTCATACGCTCAAGAATCCTCCTGCAGGGTGTGGGTGTTCCTTTTCATCTCCCTTCCCTGCCCCCCCCATACCACATCACCCTGCCTGCCTGCAGGTCTGGCAGTGTTTCACAGGTGGGGGCTGTCCTGCCTGTTGCAAAAAGGGATTTCCCCACCCCGGGGTGAAGGGGCAGGATTCTGAAAGAGCCAAAACACAACCTTTGAGAACAGCATCAGCATACAACAGAAGTAGAATTCAGCCCTCCAGACCTTTCCATCAGGCCCTTGGGACGCCTGCATTGCAGGGGGTTGGCCCTTGGGATCCCTTCCAACTCTACAAGTCCATGATTTCTCTCCCCGTGGCACACTCCTCGTTGGCCCTGCCTCACGCCCTCCTTGAGTGCTTTTGCCTGGTTGGAACATGTCCTTGAACTCTGATCATACTTCTTGCTTCTGCAGAAGCGATCTTCCTTTACGAAGGGGAAATTTACATTGGTTGCTCCTCCCACGTTTTGCCTCTGGCCCCTCCCACCACTGGCATGTGGCCCCCCAGGAGGTTGCCCAGAAGGGAATGCTGCTCTCAGGCTGCAAAAAGGTTCCCCATGTACTGAAATCAGCTCTCCATGGGAGCACATCTTGAGGGCAACAGCTCCCCGGCAGAGGAATTAAGCCAATGGGAGCCAGGCAGTTATAGTGACACCTGAGAGTTGTTAAAGGTAAAGGTAAAGGGACCCCTGATCATTAGGTCCAGTCATGACCGACTCTGGGGTTGCGGCACTCATCTCGCTTTATTGGCCGAGGGAGCCGGCGTACAGCTTCTAGGTCATGTGGCCAGCATGAGTAAGCCGCTTCTGGTGAACCAGAGCAGCGCACGGAAATGCTGTTTACCTTCCCGCCGGAGTGGTACCTATTTACTTGCACTTTGACATGCTTTCGAACTGCTAGGTTGGCAGGAGCAGGGACCGAGCAACGGGAGTTCACCCCGTCGCGGGGATTCGAACCACCGACCTTCTGATCGGCAAGTCCTAGGCTCTGTGGTTTAACCCACAACACCACCCACGTTGTTAGGAGGCCCCTATTCCCCGCAGAGAGCTACAGTTCCCAGAGTTTCCTGGGAAGGTGGAAGAGGATATAGCTCAAGCACTCTGAGAGCTGTAGCTTTGGCATCTGTTGATGGAGGAGAAGTCCATCGCTGGAAAAATCATGCAGCCGCCGCACAGATCTAGGAACAAACACGAGAGGCTCCCTTCTGCCAAGTCAGCCCCTTGGTACATCTAGCTCTGAATTGTCTGCTCTGTCTGGCAGTGTCTCTCCAAGGATTGA